TTCAAAATCATTTTCAAAGCTTTTTGAGAACATCGATTTTATAACATACGTGCCACGTACAAAGCCGGGCTATACCCGTTAGTCTAATATATACATATATTTCCCTCTGGAAATGCTCTCTATATTACTTACTCATGCTGCAGCGCCTTGAAGTTTTTCACGGGCGCGGTTATACGCGTCTCCAGCTGATGGCACCAGCGTATAAAGGCTGCCACAGAGGGACAATTGTAGTCGGGATAGAGGGTATCGCCAACGCGAATTAACTCCATTTGCTTGTCATAAATATTCTCACAGACTGTCAGCTCTTCGTCGAGCATGCGCACAATTTCCGCATAGCGTTGCGTGAATTCCTCCTTGATTTTGGGACGATCCAGTACGCTGCCCACTATGCTTATTAGCTGCGATATGGAAGAGATTCAGTTTTTCTTTCATTAAACCATAAAACAATAAATCTCACCTTAAAAATGCTCTCTAAATTATGGCAATCATCGAATGCCTGGCACAATATGGCAGCCAGCTTCATATCCAGTTCCAAAATGCGCGTTTGGAACCCCTTAAAGTCCTCATCGAACTCATGATCATCCGGATCGAGCACATCATAACTTTTCGAAGCAAATGCCGTAAAGTACTGATTGAACTCCACGTAGACATCGGTTATTCTAGTGCTCAGCTGACGTCCACGCAGTCCACCGATTTCGACTTTCTCTAATTTCAGGAATTCAATCACAGTAAAGAAGAACCTATTGAAAATCATATTTATAGTACAACTTTATAGAATATTAATATTTTTATTGATAAACTAAATACCACTGAATTGTTGTTAAACGCTCGAGGAAAGCATTAAAGCGCTTGAACACTGAATTTGGATGAAAGGTCCACAAAATCGGTGGCCGCTCTTCGGGTTCCGTAAAGAAGGCCGCCAAACGTTCCTTATAGAAGTCAAAAAGTTCCCGAAAGAACTTTAGTATTTGGATGGAAAGTGTCAGACGCTGCATGGCCTCATCTATATCGCTATGAAATATAGACGAGGGATCCAAATATCGTTTAGCCTGCAATTAAAAAGGAAACATTATAATCTATATTAACTGTTCTTCTGACTGTCTGACTGATGGACTGACTTACTACTTGGAAGACTGGCTGGTTGATTGATTGAGTGATTATACCCTATATAAATTGTTTGTCTGACTGTCTGACTGATGGACTGCTAGACTGACTTACTACTTGGAAGACTGGCTGGTTGATTGATTGACTGATTATACCCTATAAAAATTGTTTGTCTGACTGTCTGACTGATAGACTGCTTGACTGACTTACTACTTGGAAGACTGGCTGGTTGATTGATTGACTGATTATAATCTACATAATTTGTTTGTCTGACTGGACTGCTTGACTGACAGACTATATCGAAGACTGATTGACTGATTGACTGAGTAATTGGCTAGCTAACTAATTGGCTGAATATCTGATTGACCAACTGACTGCTTAGGACTGACAGCCTAAAATGATTGATTGATTGATTGACTTATTCATTATATGCATTTGTACCTGATGTATAATCAAATTGCATATCTCCTGCAATAGTACTGTTATTTTCGCCGACTGACAATAGTAGCGCGAATTGCCCCAAAGCGTGCAAACCGTATGCATAAAGGGTATGAGCAGGGGCTTGTACTCTGCAAAATCTATTTCCTCCAGCTGGTGCAGTGGGCGCTTCAATGGGTTCAAATAGAGCGTTATATCCTTTGCCTCGGCAAGTGCTGCGTTTGTTCAATCAAAGAACAGACAAAATATATGTAGATACCCAAGGGCTGGCATGTTTGTGAGCCATCAAATTGCCTGCACTCACCCGTAACCACGTTTTTGAAGAGCGTCTGAAAGCACGGATGATAGGCACTCAACGAGTACTCCAGTATTAGGGCCATGGCTCGGATACGCTCATTGCGCAATTGATCATAGATAAAGGACAGATTCTTGAGGCGATTATTCCAAAATGTGAATTCTGTTCAGAAGGCGATAGGGGGAATACACTAAGTGAATAATGCATGTTAAAGGGCTGATATTTGCAAACTACAATTAAATTAATTTAGATGTGGGTAAGGTGCAGCAACAAAAAGCCAATTTTAACAAAATCAAAGCAAATCTAACATGGCAAAATATCAGTTAGCAACATTATTAAAAAATATTACAAAATATTCGTTATTCATTTATATATTCAGAAAATGCCCACAAGTTACGAATATAGTATTTTTATAAATTACGATTTTTACAGAAATCACAGTTTATTTTAAATTAGTTAAAATCGCATAAAATTTAGGCTGCACATGATTTTGAGCTGCATTCAACATAAAGTGAAGATTCACATAACGAAATTCCCCCCCAATAAAGGCACTCATTAGTTATTGTTATTATTACAAAGGGAAATGTTGCATGTCGCCCCATTCGCAAAACAGATAATAAAGGCAAGTTTTGAAGACATTTTTACCTATATGTCAGGCGGGCTATAAACATGCAAATTTTGGCCGATGCCGGCACGTTGCTAGGTTATATGAAAACAAACGTCAACTGCAAGACTTGAATTTTATCAATAAATAATAAATAAAGCTGTGCCAAAAATAATTCAGAAACTTATATATGCACGTATGACTTGACGGTATACTGAACGACTCACCTGTGTGCGGTGTAGGATTTTGTCCATTGGCAAAGGCATTCGTTGGACTCTCCTTGATGACCTCGTGTATCTGTGTGGCCCACTTAATGACAACGCCCTCAATGGCACTTTTCAGATACAGGTCGAACTGGCATTGTTGTGTTTCGGTCAGTTCTTTGGCGGCCTTGACTATTTTCTCGACGCCCACGGGCATGGCCAATATGGTTTCACCGCTAACCTGACCCTTGACCTGATGGACGGTGCTCTTCAAACTGTGAACATGCTTCTGCACATCCTGAGCAACCATAATGGGCCAGCTTCTATAGTTGTCCTCATTGGAGAGCAGTGGCACAAGCACCTCCTCGACCAGTGCGGACAGCTGGTCAATTGTACGCGTGGCCAGGTCACCAAAGATAATAAAGTTACCGCAATTCTCACGTGGTATGGGCTTGGCATAGCGCTTGATAAAGTAGACACCTTTGCTCTTCAGCTGCGACAGGGGAAAGGTAGTGGAGGGCACCAGCTGCGCAGCGGGCGTGAGTATGATAATCAGCACGACAGGTATGCTGCGATCCAAAAACTCTTTGATTATGCCCTTGTGCTCCTCCACCGTGATGACACGCGTCCATTTCTCTGGCTTCAGTTTAAGTGATTTGATGACAAACGAACCCATTAGTTCCAGACGCGGATCCGGCCCACCGGCTGCAGCGGCTGCCTCGGCGCTGGTGGAGGCCTGCTCCATCGAAGGGCCCGAATGGTGTGTTTGTTTGCTGTTGTTAACACAGATATTGTTGTTGCTGTGTGTGTGGGGTATATATGTGTTAGTGTTTGTGTGACCTTGTTACCACTAACAACTATATAATCAATATATTTTCTATCAAATCAATATTTCTGGCTTAAATTGTATAATATATTCATATTTTAAGACAAAAACTGCAAATCAATTGCAATTTTTGCTTATCAAATTTATAGGTTATGCAATCCATATTTTCATTTTACAACACTTTAGCATTCTTGCAACAGTTATGTAACTGAAAAATAACTAAAAATTACTATCTCTCTGAATTTTCACAACAAAAATAAATTCTATACTCGTTGTATTGCACAAATTAACTTATTTGCAAACACTTTTCAACTATCTAGACATTTTTGCTAACTTTCATAATTATTTCTTTTAACTCTGCCTTAATTTGCTTCCGCCTTGCGACTGCTCACCTGCGCTACCGTTAGCTGACTGAAAGGAAATGTTTGACAAAAATGTAACCCTGTTACGTTAAACTGATCGTGGCAGCACCCGGTTGCTAGGTAGTTGTTGATTTTGCCGCTTGACCTTTGTTGTTTGCCCCTCTGCCATAATCCTTGGTTGCCAGCCACGTTGCCAGGCTTTGGGCCAATTGTTGCGCCGCCATTTTATGCTTTCATCGCACGCCAAAGTTTTTACGGCTTGGCACGTTGCCTAATAAAGTTGGCCCATGGCAAGAAACTTGGCAATTGATTAGGCGCTAATTCAACTAGTTGCGACTTTATTGACAACAAAGTTACTAAACTAAAAATAGATGATTAATAATAAAAGTGTAACAACATTATTGGCCTACTCTAGCTCAAAGGGGGCGTGGGACATCCTTCTGTCAGCATCCATTTCATATTGCAAGTAATTTTATATTTATGATTTGATTATCGCACAAGATATATATTCACATCGAATTGTGCTTTGAAAATTTATATATTAAGCAATTCTTAAAATTCAAGCAGGCCAGGCTTATCATTTCAACGTCAGCGTGTGGAATCGAACTGCGATATTTGATCACTTCCCATTGGACAGTAATTAAAAGTACTCGTTTGTCGTGACACGAAAGTATCGAAGCGGTAATTTGAATATCTCACAGGGGCAAGCATACATTCAAGTATGTACACACATCTAAATGAAACTTAAAATCATAATTTAGCTATTTATTTATGGCTGTAGCATATTTATTGGTATATCAATTTAAGTCTAATTAGAGCCGCGTGCGAATTCTAATTGGATACGCTGTTAAATGCGCCACATTGTTAGCGAACTGTCAAAGCCTAAGCCACAAAATGCTTAGAATATTGAGCAACATAAATTGGAAAATGTGTGGCAGTCACGCCAAAAACTGTTGCTTATGCGCAACAGTTGTGGAACTCTCTAGCCTCACACCTCCACACACTATCCCCTGCAGTAGTTGCCGTTTTTATGGTAAATATGTGGCGCAGGCGCCAGCCATAAACAAAACAAATAACTGTTGCGCCAAGGGCAACATTGTTGCCAAGCCAACGGCAACATTGTTGCTAAACAAACAAGCAACAGTTTCTTGCATGACTTCCGCTTGGAAAACTTTTGCTATTTCTATTTCTATATTTTTTATGACTATTGATTGACCTAGGCCCAGGCGCAGCGGGTTGTTCAACTTGCTGGCAAAACCAGTTGCAGTTGGACGTAATAAATATTAAAGGTAAATTAATGAGGATAACCGCAAGCTACGCCAAACTCACTGAAGCTGAAAAAGTGAAGCTATTTCGGGCTGCATTTATAAATCCATGGCCGTGCATAGCTCTGTTTAGATTTCTGGAAAATGTGGCAGTTGGCATTCGGACTGCTGAGTGTCGCATCCGGCATTGTTGTGGAGCGCAACATGTTCGCCTACTATAAACTGCCGTTACGCCTGCTCCACGCTAACGAGTCCACTTCCGGTCTGTACTATGTGCTGCAGTGCCCGCCCAAGCTGGACGAGGGCATACCCAAACCCAGAGACATGCCCACCTGCAGTGTGGTGGATCAGTACAGGCACAAGACCAGACCCAAATCCAGGAAGTTGCAGCCTGCTCGCACCAAGCTCCAGCCGCTGCCCCCAACAACAGTTAAACGATCGCGCTGGGGTTGGCGGCAACGTCGCAGCAAGCGACATAACCAGGACCAGGATGAGACAACAGCCCTGCAGCATCTCGGCAAGCCGCATCGACGGCAAACGCTGCTCAAGCTGTCCGCCGATTATCGGAATTTCAGGCGCGGCAACAGCTCCAAGGGCTACCAGCACATGTATCACCGGGATGAGAGCTACAACGATCACATCTTCTACGATGAGCTTCAATTGGATGGCAAATTCCACAAGCAGGGCCAAGGGAAGATTGCGAACTGAAGGAAAGGACGTCTAGTGCACAACCTGAACATAACAAATTCTTAAGGTACTCAAATGGATTTGAATACAATTCTTCCTCATATATTAGAAGGAAAATTTTGTTGGAATTTTCCAAATATAAGTATGTAAGTCCGAAACCTCAGTTATGCCCGTTTGAATATTTTCTTAATATTTTTGATTTAATGAAATTATTTGAAAATATATTATTCAAAACAATACAAAATAAAAATCTTTACATTGAAGATTCGTTTTATATATTCGTAACGGTCAGACAGAAAAACAATCCATGTAGAATACCAATATACTCCTTTTAACTTTCCGAACAGAGTACAAGAAAGGCTTTCTCTGTTGACATAGTACCAAGCGCTCCGGCGGGCTTATATTTTTGTAAGTTGCCATAAACCGGTAAGAAAAGTTGCACAAACCTATACAACAAAATGTTAATACTAAATTAATATATACTTATATATAAATTGTATGCAATTATTTATTCATTCGTTTTCGCCGACGTCTGGCAAAAACATATCGTCATAGGCCACATTTTCAAAGACTTTATTCAGCATGCCTGTAAAGCATTGGGCAAAGGATTTCATTAGCCCAGGTTCGAGGCCGTTCCAGAATTCCAACCAATTTTCGTTGAAGGCCCGATTGACCGCAATCGTAAGATCCGTATTTTCCCTATACAAGTTATCAAACCAAACTATCCAGCTGAAAAGAAAATTGGATACTTTAAAATCATATTGGGGTTTGGGCAATCGATCTCACCGATCCAGCTCAACTTTAGGCTTTAGTTCGTAGATCTTCAAATAGCGTTTGTGGTTCCGATATTCCAGAACACTCTTTATGGTCAGTTTTAATTGAACATTCTGAAAATCGGATTTCAATTTGCCCGTCGTATTCGCCACAAACAACAGATAGCGACCCAGCATATCGTAGGTTGCCTCGTGGATGAGACTGGGTATGTGCGCCTCAATGGTCATTATGTTTTTGGTTGGATCTCTACTGAAGCCATCCACATGGGTAATGGTGGCATTATTGAAGCCCCTATTGACATTGTCGCGCGTGTAAAAGGTTAACCAAACAGCACCTACATTGGGCCTGTCCAGAATCGCGACATCCTCCAGTCGGGTGGAGTCCAGCGGCGGCAGCCCAATCTCCGGTATGCCTTTGGGATAACGCTTGATCAGGTCATTAATGCTGACTATAAGACATTTCGTGTCCCCAAAATGACATTTCTTGATGTCCTTAGCTGCAAAAAAAAAAACATATTTTGTATATGTATATTGTTCGAATCCTAACTGGAATACTCACGCAGCTGGACACCCAATGCCGTCTTGCATAGCGTATGCAATACGATAATTAACATATAATACTTGTACATCTTGTGTATAGAGATTTTATTATTATTGTTATTTTAAACCAGTTGCAATTAATTGCAGTCACGACACGATGTTACTTAGAACCTGCTTTAGCCGAAGCTAAACTGTAAATAACATCAATAGATTATCTTTGTTTAAGTTTATAGCAAGTGTTTTGTGAACTATATTCAAAACCGGATTGCTGGTTGTACATACGGATAGCAATACTATAAAAAATATACTCTTCCTGTTACAAATATACTGTTAGTTAAAGAAAATGGACAATCTGATTTATGGCTTAATAATTTATTTCAGTCTCATTGTCCTTGAGGAACATATCATCATAGGAAATTTTATGAAAAATATCTTCAATCATGCCCGTAAATACACTGCTAAAAACGCTCAGAAACGCCGGTTCCAGTTCATTCCAGAACTCCAACCAGTTCGCGTTGAGCACCTCGTTTAACGTTATGGTTAGATCCATGTTTTCGGGAAACAAGGTATCCAGCCAGACAATCCAGCTGCCGATCGATGTAATTAAAATATACTACTTGTATATCTAGTATATCGCAGACTCACCGACTAATGTTCACGATCGGAACTAGTTCGTAGATTTTCAGGTAGCGCTTGTTATTCCGATATTCCGGTATTACTTTCAGCTTTAATACAAACCGCAAGTTCTGAAAATCCGATGTGGACTCGCCCGTAGCATTCAGTGCGATCAGCCAAACACGTCCATTGGCTATATAGCTACCCTTGTGTATGAGACTTGGTATCCTTCCGTGAATTTCCATGGTGCTGGCCGTGGGATCCCTGCCGAAACCCTTGATGCGCGTTATTGTTGCATTCTCAAAGCCATAGTTCACTTGATTGAAGAGCTTAAACTTAAACCAAACCCCGCCAACTTCGGCGTTATTCCAAATTTCCGAATCCTTAATATCCACATTATCGATGGGCTTCATGCCCATGGCTGCCAAGCCTCGAGGATAACGTTTGATCACCGCATTCATGGATTCAATTATGCATTTCGAATCGCCGAAACGGCATTTCTTAATAAAGTTCGCTGGGAAGAGGAAGAGAAAGGAATCGAAAAACAAAAAAAAAAAAAACAAAAAAAAAAGCAACTATAAATTGATTTAGGCTATAGGAACACACATTTTATTTGGACTACCCACGTAATGTTTGACACTTGCACGCGATAAACAATTGCAGAATGATTGAGACGACAAATACAATACGCATATTTCGGCTTACTTGGATATGCACCATATGTTGGAGGAGAATGCACTTGTATTGGCCTCAGAGGTCGGACATTGAATAAAATCGAATGCCTATTGCTATAGAATTTTAAAAAGGCCAGCAAATCAAATTGGAATTCGCATAGTTTTATAAACCGGTTGCTCGATTCAACTAACATGGGCTTCACTCGGTTCCGCACAGAACGTATATTAATTTAACTATTTATATAATTCGTGGGGTGTACGAAATGTATACTATATGAACATGGTACATTTACAACTATGCTGAATTTCGAGATGCCATTTTATATTATATGCAAAAGTTCTTTAGGTTTTCACAATTTTCATGATGCTAACAATTCAACATATCTATAATATTTGGCATAGCTGAGAAATCAATCTAAGTGAGTTAGACTTGTTTTTAATTCAATTATCATTATTTTCATACTTATTCGAGAGAAACATGTCATCGTATGAAACATTGTGAAATATATCCTCGATAATGCTCAGGAATACACCTGTGAATACTTCCAATATGGGCTTTTCGAGCTCATTCCAAAACTCAACCCAATTTGCATTGAATATTTTATTAATAAATATTGTCAAATCGGTATTTTCTGGAAAAAAATTCTCCAGCCATTGTATCCAGCTGCAAGTCAATAAAATTCCTGGTAATGTTTGCAATTAAAACTGGACTCACTTTTAGAACTCACCGATCCACAGAAATATTCGGCACCAGCTGATAGATCTTTAGATATCGCTTATTGTTACGATATTCCGTTTGCACTTTCAGCGTGAAATCGAAATGAAAGTTTAAGAATTCCGATTCAGAGACACCGGATGAATTAATATTAATCAGCCAGAGTAAACGGCCCTGGGCATTATATGTGCCTCTGTATATAAGCCTGGGCAGATGGCCCTTAACTTCGATTTTCGTTAAGCTGGGATCTTCGTCGAAGCCCTTGATTTCCGTTATAGTTGTGTTCTCGAAACCATAATTGATCTGATTGAGCAGGTCGAAAAAATACCAGGCGCCGCCCACCTGTCTATCATTGATGAGCACCGTATCCTTGACATGGACCACATCAATCGGCTTGAAGCCCACCGAGGGTATGCCCTTGGGAAAGCTGCGTATCAGAGCATTTGCCGTGTCCCTAATGCAGGTTGCATCTCCAAAATGGCACTTCTTGATTTTCTTGGCTGCGATCAAATATAGAGAAAATAGAGAACTAACCGACAATGTGACTCTATTTTAACTACCCACGTAATGTTGAGCACTCGGAACCGATATAAAGCTGCAGGCACATCGACAATATCAAAAGTTTCCGCATTGTAAACAAATCCAAGCACTTGAATAGCCCCAGACAGTCCGCGTTCAAGTAAATCCCAACCACAGTCTCAATATTAGTTGAATAGAAATATATCGATTATCATAACTAGTTTGCCGTAATCCACCATATTTAACTAATTAAACCAGGTCTAGCACCAACTATCATGGTGGGTACTCGAGAAGCTTTGCAATTGAGCACAGCTTTAAGACTTTACAGCTGATCGACTGGCTGGCCAGTTGTAAAAGGTAATAACTAGTAACTATTAATATTGGCATAGGGCAGCTATTATTTTTAGCACAATAAACAAATCCCATTTACACAAAAGATAAATGGGAAATCTATTCAAAATGCTAGCTCCTCATACGTTAGTTGGTAATCATATTTATCGCATTTATCTTTATTTTTTTATCGCATTACTAGGATTATTTTTAAAAATATATTTATTGGAATTTTTTTTTTTTTTGTTGTCAATCATTTTATATAAAACGTAATCTGGCTCATATAGGCCAAGGTTAGAAGACCCCGAAAGCACAGATGGGTCCAATCCAATCACATTTCAGCAGCGCATGAAGCCCTATACAAGTTTCTAGATATTTATAGTATATGTCTTGGAACTCGGAGCAAAGATTGTAGGCTATACTATATATATTATAGCAACATAAGGAAACACTTAACGAAAAAAACGATCTGTAAGAGCTTTTAAGTTAGGTTGGTTAATTTTTATAAGTGTATGAAAATTATTTTTATTTCTGTTAGGATTGATAAGGATATGAATAAAAGATATTAGATATCTTACAGTGCTCAATCTTACAATGAGAAAATAATTTTGGCTTACGTTCGGTTAGGGGATATATAAAAGATATTAGTGCATTTATACGGGAGAAAAATAAGAACAATAATAGTATTTTGTGTTTAGTCTCCCAATTAATAATCATTCAACTATAAGACTTGCTTATAGAAATCATCGTAGGGCAACTTGTCTAACACACGGCTAATAATTGTCTGTGCCACCTGGTTAACAGCCGAGTTGACACCTTTTCGCATGGTATTCCACACATCCTGCCAGTTGTTGTTGATTAGCTCGTTCATGGAGTCGCTTAGCTCCTGGTTGTCAAGCAGCTTGTCAAAGTTGACATGCAGACTGTTTAACAATGTAATATTTAGGAATAATTTTCTGCTAATATTAGCACCTTTTAGCTTACCCCTTTATATTCACCAGACACTTGACCTTGTTGATCTTTGCATAAAGTTTAGCATCGGCTGTTCGCTGATCCTCAACTGCTTTTGCCCTGCACGTGAATTGACAACCGCTCAGTTCCACCTGCGCCACGCCCTTGCCCTGTATGGGCAACATCAACAGCCTGCCCTCCGCCTCATAGAGCCCATCGAGCCGCAACAGAGGCGTCCATCCGGCCAGCTCGAAGCCATGTCGCAACACTTTCTCGAATCCTTTGACATGCTGGATTGTCGTGTTCTCAAAACCACACACCCTCAATGTATTGAATTTCAAGCTCAATTGCATGGGCGTATTGGGCGTGGCCTCGCTAACGACTACATCTTGAAAGTCTATGGCATCCAAGGCATCAAGTCCAATGCCAGGTAGGCCCTTGGGATACTTTTGCACAATTTGATTGATGGTTTCCACAATGCAGTTCGCATCGCCGCCAGCGCATTTCTCAATCTCTGGTGCTGAAAATTCGAATATTTATTTCTTTTTAATAAAACTTAAAACTAAAAAAATAAATAAAACAAGAAATTCTTGCACGCAAATCCTAAATACATATGTAAACAGTGTTATTCTTTAGAGACAAATAAATTTAAATATTAAGAAAATAATTGAATTGACATATATCTAGAATGTTATATCAGTTTATAATTGAGTTAATAAGATGGGAAAGTGACCGCTGATAAATTAAATATTTGAGATTAACTTTTTGAAACTCGCGAAAGTTTTATTCCCAGAACCCAAAATGGGTAAAAATATATAATGTATTTGTGCAAATGTATGGCAGAAGGGAGCATCTCCGACCCCATAAAGTGTATATATTCTTGATCAGCATCAATAGCCGAGTCGATCTAGCCATGTACGTCTGCCTGTCTGTATGTCAGGAGTTCAAGTATTGTGGTGGCTGTAGCTTATACCCAAATCGCGGGTAGAGCTTTTTGAGGTTTTAGACCGGCCGCACCTCCCACCAATGAGGGAATGTATTGATTCCACCCGGCATTTATCCAATTGGTACCGAAGGAACATTATTCGCGCAGGGAAAGTGTCCTGGAGGGGGGGCGATAGTCCGACGCATTGTTTCGGCTCGTTGTATTTTCGAATAACGTGAGACTAATCCAACATAGTAGGTGCTCAAGTAAAACCCCGGTCTTTATCCGTCCTTCCGTCCGTCTGTCCGTATATATGAACGCAAGGATATCAAAACCTATAAGAGCTAGAGACTTGAAATTTTAGATGTATGTCCTCCTAGTGCCTGCACAGATGATATTTGTTTCCGATATTCGTTGCCCCGTTTCCAAGCAAACTCTAAAAAACTATATCTACTTCCTATTTTTTGAGTAAATTGGGGAAATATTAAGAGCTAGAGTTACTTGATATTTTGGTTTTAGAGTATTATGTGTATATATCAAGTATATTTCATTTTATACTTATCGCCACCTCCCCGCTACCACCGCAAAGCTATAAATCAAGTAAATAACCCACATTATATTGCCCACCAATTTAAGCCACAATTTTAATGCAATGAACTTTTTGAGAATGCACAAATATTTCATGCTACAGTAAGATATACTGTAGAAAGTATCATTAAGATCGGTTAAGAAAAAACCCAAAAGTTATGTGATTTACTGCGCAATTGGATGGGGCAGCTAGCGCAAATTCCAAGAGTTTCTGTATACATGTACACACAGATTTATGCGCATCTGCTCGAATTATATCAACACCATTGCAATTGCAACTGTTTTCTGTGTTGCTTTTTTAATTTTTTTTTTTTTTCTTAATTATACTCAATTATTGGTGTGGCTGTTGAGTGGAGGAACAGCAAGTAGCGCGGTCTGTCGCGAGTTCGAGCCCTACCAAGGAAACTTAATTTTTTTTTGGCTGATGTGGCTGTTGAGTAGAGCCGTCACAAAGTAATGCGGCAGTTGCAAGTTCGAATCCTGCCAAGGGAGCTTTTTTTTAAATACTCATTATTACTTCTTTTGGTGTTGGAATAAGAGGGCTCCGGATAATCTACAATTCTTTCAATATGCTCCCAATAAATTTAAATACAAATTTTAAAAACTTAGTATCATTTTTACTCACAATTTTATATACTCAGTATTTCACTTACGTAGTTCGCCGCGGACAAAAAACCCGTTTAGCAGGAGCAATGCTAGGGTATACCACATTTTGGACATCCTTCTAGCTCCCGTTGACTTTTTGAGCGCCTTTACTAAATGAACCTAAGCAATGACTGGCTCGTCGCTTTTATAATCCAATTACCCGATACGGAAATCGGAAACTACACTTAAATTTTGTAAAAGCATTAAATTATACTGCCACCTACACTGTAATTAACACTTTACGCTTTTGTTTGATTGACTCGCTTGGGTAGCAAATGCCTCATTAGCTGTGCAGGTATTTAATTTCCCTTTCATTTAGACGCCATTCATTTAAATATCAATTACAGCTACTTAAAGAGTCGTGACAGAAACGGTGCGCTTCATCAGGGGTTAATAGAGAGCTACTGGGGATGGCTCGACTAGCGAATACCCTATAATTCATTTTTTATTAGTTAAATAATCTACTTTTTTGCCTTTACCAGCTACCCACATTTCGACTAGCTTATCAAGCCCATTTACATTTTTATTTTAGACACAGGCTAGTATGCAAATCGAAGATAAGTTGATTTATCATCCGATTTCTCCGCTAAATACAAAACACACATATCATTTGTACTTATGCATATTATTATAGTATTTTATTTTAAATGTAATACACAACAATAAAAAACAATTTAATGTCGATAGCAAAGAGAAATATTGCAAATAAGTTCTTGACTTATTTATTACTGTGCTTTTGAATAAAATTGCGGATTATAAATAATTTAAATGATACATTAAGAAAAACGTGTGCTCTAAATTTAAAAAAACATAAACTATTTTCGATTGATTTTTTTTTAGGAAATATTTTTGAAAAACACACGTTCTTAAGATTTATACATTTTTGATTTAAAAAATTGTTTATGGTTTCTCAGTTCACAGCCTTATAAGAAATATATATATGTTTAGTTAAAATATGTGTATGTGTGTGTGAGTGTATGTGTGTGTCTGTGCATCAAACTATTATTATTATCAATTACAGTACAGTGAACTAATGTCTACTTTCGATGCCACATGTTTATTTTTTATCCCAGGCATTTTGCAGTTATATTTATGATATGATAAATAACGAAATTTTGTTTCCTATGAATTACCTTTTTTTCGACTTTTTGGTATACTTCGTTTATCATGTTAAAATAAATATGCTATGACCATTTATTACACTAATTCCCAAGTATTCGGCCTGAAGAGAGAGAGCGACAATTTGCCAAACAAAACCAGAGCCAGATTTGTGACGCGATGAACTAAGTGCTGGGACATGGCTTTCGGATGGGGTGACAACTCTGTGCTCTTTGCGAAACGGTTTGTTAGAACAGACTGGAACCGAATGCTAGCTGATGACCACATGGCCATTGGCATTGTCCACATTGCTACTGTGGCAACTCAGCTCGTTGTTGTTGCTGCTAAAACAAACCTCCTCACTGCCATCGGAATCAGTGCAGAACAGTAATGGCTACGCATCCTCACCATCCATGATATCTGCGTCGGTGTCGGCATTGGTGGCAATTCTGCAAATGAAACATATTATGAAATCGATGTATGACTCAATGTAAGTGTGTGTGTGTGCGAGCATGTGTGCGTGTGTATGCGTAAAATGAGGCGCATCTGGGTCTTATACAAAAGAGCTCTTATACAGAATAAGGACCCAACATACACTGATCTTAACTCAGGATGTTCTTGAAGTAACAAAGACAATAAACAGGGTTGTTAGAGAGTAGAAAATCCACAGCCCGCAGCATAATAATGCATATTATAATAACTAATTAAGCTACGCAAAGAACTTTTTATTGATTAATCATGGTATACGACTATCTAAAAGAATTCCGTGTTAGTAGGAAATCAACATCATAGAAAGAAGAAATAAGTTCAACATACAACATTCTATAGTTTAAAGACATTAACAAATAGGCATTAAAATAAAAGACAACTCAGAAAGAACCATCTATCACAGCGGTGACCACAAATATATGTTTATCTTTATTGTGAGTGGGGTAAGACTAAACAGCTGTTTTATTATTTTATTTACTTATATACATATGTACTTATATACATATGTACAAAAAAGTTGAGCTACGTATAAAAACACAATTATTGAGTTATGTACGTAAACTTATTATAAATACTTAGCACTCTACAGAACTGAGCAATAAAGAAGAGCACAAACTATTCCTTAGATCACTTTTAGCCAAATATACGAAATACAATCATTTTATTATATACAATCAAAATTAACATAACCATAAGCATTAAGAGGCGACATTTCTTTGTAGATTATTAAAAGAGTTTATCGAGATTCCATTATCGTTAAGCGTCAGCTCGCTATAGAGGATGGCATTCACATGTGGTTGGGTTGGTTCGTTGTTGGTTCGTTGTTTTTGTTGCCACCATTAAATGGATAAACAAATTTGGCGGCACGTGCAGCAGCCCATTTGCGAGGTTTAAATAAACAATTGAAATCCGCATTGAATTTTTGGTTAAATGAATATTCGTTTTTTTTTTTCTTTTAGAAATGTGTTAAGCTGTCGGAACGCTAATTCATTTTGTTTAATGTTTTTCTAAACTTTTTTTCTTTCAATATTTTCATATTTGTTTTTTTAAAGTCTATTGTTGCTTGCCAATTGCAAACTTTTTTTAGATTAGATTTGAGCCAATGCCAAGAAAATCATTTATTAATTTTGAACATTATTTTTTGCCAATAATTACAGATCAATCAATCCAATACAGTTGAGGTTTTATTTGTATTATATATTTTTTTTTTGCAGTCAGCGTCAGAAATAGTAGAGTGGTGTACAGTATAAGAGTGGAGCGTGTGTAGATGTATTTAGTATAAGATACACAGAACAGTGTTGGGAAACAAATGTTGGTAGTCACGCAAACACATATAATAGAAGAGAATTTTGTGATACAAAAAATAAATAGTAACAAAATTAGCAACACATTTTTGTTGTTGAGTTTTTATTTTTGTTTTGTTTTGATTTATTTAACCACGCCAAATGGATGAATGCAATGGATGACCGTTTTACCAAAATACCAAATAATATCCAATAGATGTATAACCTGTACTTAGGTATTTAAGCTTTATATACTTAGTATATAGTTTGGTCCAGGTTTCTTCATCAACATTCGGAGATCCATTAAGTTCCATACAATGGCTCCGCGACAGCTCCAATTCAGTACTTAGGAACTAGCTTATACTTATAATAAATCAAAGGCAAGACCACTATTCCCAGAATATACTATTAAATGCGTATTTTATTTATCAATACTAAGCACTCTAGCTTATATGAATATAGCCTGATAATTGCCGTTGTGCGAGCATTATAGGTCCACAATACCAACAACATTATGACTTACCAAAAACTTATTATTAGTTTTAATAGGTATGAACAGCAATTGCCTTAAGGCAACTTAAATTCTTATTGATGAATTGTTAGTGTTGTAAAGCATGTGATTTAAGTGTTAATATCACAAATGTGGAGGGCTTCCAAAATGAAATAATGTTAGTTAACTGAGCCGTAGCTTATGAACTGTAGAAATAATCATTGGGCTACTTTTTCCGAAACAGTATCGAGAGGTTTGTCAGTAGTATTAGTTTTATCGCCTACAACTAAGGTAACATCACTGTGAATAATTAAAAGAAGAAGAGCATAGGCATATGTATTCAATTAAGTGTTAGTCAATAAGTGTTAGAGAGAAAAGTAACCGAATGGTGGAGCAAAGGATTAGTAGATTTAAGAAGACAGTAGACAGCATTAGGAGTGCTGGGAAAGTAGAAAAACCAATTGACATTAGGATAGTAAAGACTAGAGATAAAATTTTCAGATTAGTTACCCATATAAAGACGTAGGCAATTGTGCATGTATGTGTATGTGTGTTTTGGTGTGTGCAAGAATATTATTATGAGTAATATATTAGGCATTAACATACCTGGCATACGTTGAGTTGGCATTCTTAATCGAAAAACTATTCTGGCTTGGTAACACAAAACGTTGCACCCACTGTAAATAGGAAAAACATTAGTTAGATGAAGTTGTCTTCGATATATATGACATCTAAAGCTCTATAAAGTGCTTGCGAACAGTCACGTAAATTGATAAACTTGAGCATGATAACTATTGCCGCCGCATACAATTTATGATTGACTGGTCAAATAGTTAATGCTTTTAGTCACGAATTTTGATAAGTGTTTGCTGATTTTCAATATAACTTACCCGACTGTTCATCAGACGCTTGTTGCCCATGCAGGCGGCCATATGTATCACAAGATATATAACAAATAGAATATATAATACAGCAAATATGCCTACAACAAGAGAGAAGCATTAGTCACTCAAGTAAATAAGGGGGAATATTATAGACTTACAGACGAGCGCCAGCATGCCGCCTTCAATTTGCAGCGTTTCCACTTGCGCCACCACAAAATACAAATTAACGCCAATTACCACAATGGTTAGCAAAATGGAAACGATTTTGTTACCGCTGCAAAAAAAAACAGTGATTAAAAATGTAAGCTTATGATAAATTGGAGATATTCAATCTCTACTCACATTCCATTCACAAATTCACCCATGATGGCCGCACACGATGTAAACGCTATTGTGGGTATAGCTGCAAATGGCAGCTGCAGCGACATGACCGCATTAAGTATATCATTCATATTGGTTAGATCCTCCATTTTACTGAACATGGCCAGGCAGAAGGTGGGTATAATGGCAATGCAGCGCGTGACCAGCACACGACACCAGCGCGGCCATTGCAGATTGAGGAAACCCTCCATGGAGAACTGGCCCGCATAGGTGCCCGTCATGGTGGAGCTCTGGCCGGCAGCCAAAATGCCGACACCCCAAATGTACATGGCCGCGGCACCAAATGTGCAGCCCAGAAACAGTCCGCCCTTGTACAGGTCCGCATTGATAATGTCCGTCAGATTGTGATTGTCCGTAAACGACAGCTTGGCATCCTCGTACATGGACTTGTTGGCACACACATCCAGCTGTAAGATGGAAAGTTAGCCAACTGCAGAAAACATATGCTGCTACAGTTCACTCACCACATCCCGATTGGTCTTGCCATACATGCCATGCGCGAAGACCGCCACAACAAAGAGATTGATGATAAAGGAGACAAACAACGCAACGGAGGCCTCAATAAAGAAATAGAAATTCGCTTCGCTCACTTTCTTTGGCTGGCGACGATCCACGTCGCGTGACTGTTAGGCAAATAGAAAGAATTAATTGAGGATTCACTTTATTTTTTATCCAATTCTTACCTTGACCAAAGCAGAGTGCAAATAGAGATTGTGTGGCATGATAACGGCACCCACCACGCCCACTGCCTGGAGCAGCACATCCGAATTGCAATCGGTGCACCAAGGCACAAACATGCCTTCCATCACTTCAGCTTGATTGGGCGCGGAGACAATATACTGGAAATAAAAAATTAGGATTTACCAACAAAGTTTGAGAATCAAAGGACAAACAGGAAGAGAGATCAGACTCCGCTAGTATTGTGTGCATTTCTAAAATTCATGAGAATTAAATAGAAGGGCGATCTGCTTTGTGGGACATATTGAAGTGTAGCTAATGATGATTAAGACATTCTTTTATTATTAATTTATTTATTTGTTTTATGTTAAGCTGCCGTTCGTTGAGAAAATCAATAATAATTAATGTTCACAATAAATACAATATTTATTGATGGCTCTGGCGACCTTTCCATATTTCAATATTTATTTGTTGGCTGGCTCGAGGTCCGTGTTTGTTAAAACAAACAATGAAAAACAATTTTATTCAATTCTCTTCCGATATATTTCGGTTGCACATCGGCAAACCGTCTTCAGGGCACTAACACCAAGATACAAAAAACAATTAACAATTATAATACAATAAATTAAACATTATTTCGAACATTTTACATACATTATTTTACACGTCTGCGCTTTTTGACGTGGAGATTGTTACTGAGGTTGTTTGACTGTTTAAGAGGTGTCTGTACAAGTGAGCGCAATTTTCTGTGTCTGTCTTGTAGTTTAGTCGTTTGTAGGTTGGTGTGTTAATTATGTGTAGCATTTCCAATGTGTGTCGCTTGTTATAGTGTTGTTCTTGTTGTAAGATTGTTGTTTCATCAAAATTTGGTGTGTGGTTGCTTCTTATACAATGGGTCATAAGTGCTGTTTTCTGTATATTATTTTGATGTCTTAGTTTGAAGTCCGATTTATGTTGACTAATCCTTGTTTTTAGCTTCGATTTTGTTGTACCTATGTAGACACTATTGCACTTGTTGTTGTTATCCCCGCCACATGGTATTTGGTAAACGACGTTGCTTTTTTCGATCATCGGGATTTTCGACTTTATCTTGTTGAAGAATTTTTGTAATGTATTCGTCGGTTTGTGTGCTACTTTTATATCTTGTTTGTTATAACAGTCTGAGTTTGTGAGGCGTTCTGATAGTTCGCTCTCCCAATCAGCAAGAGAGATTTTCCTCTCTTGAAATACATCGCAGACGGTGAGGAGCTAGTGCAAACAATAAAAGAAAAGGAAACACAAGAGTCGGCGCGCACAAAATTCTCTTTGTTAGTCAAAGAGCATAAAACCAAGAACAACCAAAACAGTAGGGATCGAGCAATACTGGACACAGTGGAACAGACACGAAAATTACTGAAAGAAAATATAAATATTAAAATTCTATCGTCGGATAAGGGCAACAAAACCGTAGCAATGGATGAGGATGAATATAAAAATAAAATGACAAATATTTTAGACGACTTATGCGCGTATAGAACATTGAGACTAGATCCGACATCAAGACTACAGACAAAGAATAACACCTTCGTAGCACAATTATTCAAGATGGGTCTTATTTCAAAGGACGAAAGAAATAAGATGACTACAACAACAGCGGTACCTCCGAGGATATATGGACTACCAAAAATACACAAGGAAGGAACTCCACTGAGACCAATATGTTCTTCCATAGGATCTCCATCTTACGGGCTGTGCAAATATATAATACAAATATTAAAAAATCTGACAATGGACTCTAGGTACAACATCAAGAACGCGGTAGATTTTAAAGACAGAGTCAACAACTCCCAGATTAGAGAAGAGGAAACATTAGTATCTTTTGACGTAGTATCCTTATTTCCCAGCATACCAATAGAATTAGCACTTGACACAATAAGACAAAAATGGACCAAATTAGAAGAGCACACGAATATACCGAAACAACTATTTATGGACATAGTTAGATTTTGCATACAGGAAAACAGATATTTCAAATACGAAGACAAAATATACACACAACTTAAGGGAATGCCAATGGGATCACCGGCTTCCCCAGTAATCGCAGATATATTAATGGAGGAACTGTTGGACAAGATTACAGATAAATTAAAAATAAAACCAAGACTCTTGACCAAATATGTAGATGACCTTTTTGCCATAACGAACAAAATAGACGTGGAAAATATTCTAAAAGAATTGAATTCCTTCCACAAACAGATAAAATTTACAATGGAATTAGAAAAGGACGGGAAATTACCATTTTTAGACTCTATTGTAAGCAGAATGGACAACACACTCAAAATAAAGTGGTATAGGAAACCCATAGCCTCCGGACGAATACTCAACTTCAATTCAAACCACCCAAAGAGTATGATAATCAATACAGCACTAGGCTGTATGAATAGAATGATGAAAATATCGGACACAATATACCACAAAGAAATTGAACATGAAATCAAAGAACTTTTGACCAAAAATGACTTCCCCCCAAATATAATCAAAACATTATTAAAAAGACGACAAATCGAAAGAAAAAAGCCAACAGAACCTGCTAAAATATACAAATCACTAATATATGTACCACGACTATCAGAACGCCTCACAAACTCAGACTGTTATAACAAACAAGATATAAAAGTAGCACACAAACCGACGAATACATTACAAAAATTCTTCAACAAGATAAAGTCGAAAATCCCGATGATCGAAAAAAGCAACGTCGTTTACCAAATACCATGTGGCGGGGATAACAACAACAAGTGCAATAGTGTCTACATAGGTACAACAAAATCGAAGCTAAAAACAAGGATTAGTCAACATAAATCGGACTTCAAACTAAGACATCAAAATAATATACAGAAAACAGCACTTATGACCCATTGTATAAGAAGCAACCACACACCAAATTTTGATGAAACAACAATCTTACAACAAGAACAACACTATAACAAGCGACACACATTGGAAATGCTACACATAATTAACACACCAACCTACAAACGACTAAACTACAAGACAGACACAGAAAATTGCGCTCACTTGTACAGACACCTCTTAAACAGTCAAACAACCTCAGTAACAATCTCCACGTCAAAAAGCGCAGACGTGTAAAATAATGTATGTAAAATGTTCGAAATAATGTTTAATTTATTGTATTATAATTGTTAATTGTTTTTTGTATCTTGGTGTTAGTGCCCTGAAGACGGTTTGCCGATGTGCAACCGAAATATATCGGAAGAGAATTGAATAAAATTGTTTTTCATTGTTTGTTTTAACAAACACGGACCTCGAGCCAGCCAACAAATAAATATTGAAATAAATACAATATATAATAGGGAATTTTATTTTTAAGTCAGCTTATGACCTATTCATCCTCGTAAGAACTTGTTGTCTTTAACTAAAATAAAATTTTAAAATGCCAACAGTCAACAAAATATGATTGTTTAAGCAAATTTCCGTAGCCTGGCTTTTTTTGCATATGACTTTTTGATAAGGCCATAAGCAATAATCCCCTACTTATCACAATAAGTTATGGTCCATTTCCGGCACATTCATACCCACATAATCAAATACAAATAGTTGTCATTTCTCGAAAGAAACCACTCTCTAAAGTCATTTATCTAATCATTTAACGCCCAGACGGTCCAGTCATATTTGTTGAAAAACAATAGCTTACAGCAAACACAGCCTGCCTCTAAACAGATACACAAATAGTTTACTTATTATCAAGTAGCGGAACGAAATGGAAAAAAAATGTGTACCAGGAACGGCAATGGCAATGGGAATCGGAATGGGACGAGCTCTGCGAGTGCCGTAATTGAAAGATATAGACACAAAGTACGCCCCTGACAGACATGCACGTCAATTGACGAATGCAATTTAGCGACAATAGACACAAAAAAAGGCCATTAAAATGTATTCATATTAATGGGTAAAAAAATTTAACGACTGAAGCGCTGTGTCTAAGCACTTTATATACTTATTTGTATGCCTGACAGACAATTAATTTAGGAGCCTCTTATCAGGGGGATCTTTTTCGGGGTGATCACCCGAAACGGGAATGTTTTTATTATTGTTTTGTTTGCAGAAGCGCAGCTTACCTCATAGCCAAATGTGATAGCCATGACCGTGATGAGGAAACCAAATAGGAACTCCAGCTTTCGCAAACCATACTTATCCAGAAATAGGAACGTAAATGTATCAACAATCGTGATGAGGACGCCGCCCCATAAAGGCACACTGCAAGGGAAGAGGAGATTAACGAACAATTTATGATGTATATAGCTATTAGAACTCACACTTTATTGGATAGCAGATATATGGCAATGGCTGTGCCTATGACCTCCTGCATGTCCGAGCCAATGATGGCAATCTCTATCATGATCCAGAGTATCCAACGTGGCAAACGCTTGTACTGTCTATAGCACATCTCCGCCAGATGCAGGCCAGTGACAACGCCCAGCCTAAAGATAGTTTTAACATAATTTAAATATATATCAAGTATTAAGTTTATATTGTATGTGACACACTCACCTTGCAGCCAAGCGTTGCATTAGCAGGCCCAATATTGTGGCCCATAACAGTACCCAGAGTATTTTATATTTAGCTGCGGCGCCCGATTGCAGATCGGATTCAATATTGCCCGGATCTAGATACGCAATGGACATGAGAAAACCGGGGCCCGTGAAGGCCCACAACTTGCGAAAACTGAAACCGATCTGTGTGCGAACGGAGATAAGTTAATATGTAAAATTTATGATAAACTGCCCGACTAGCAGATGCCCTATACCCAGGGGAGAGGTAAACGTATTAAAAAAATTAAACATTCTTACTTTTTATTTAATACTTAAGTACCTCTATATCAAATTTGGTCGCTCTAGCTGTTATAATATCACAGTTATCACAGAGGCTACAAATTGATTTTGATCGATGACAATGAAATATGGAAATTATCGATACGCGCATAATATAGGATAGCCTTTAGTTTAAATTTAAAGAGCCAATCAACGGATCCATATAGCTCAAAATGCTAGATCTAAGGCTTTTCATGGGTACAGGGCTTGCATTTAGGATTTAGATACCTATATTTGAACTTACATTGGTCCGATCGTCGTCTGGTATGAGCACCTTCTCATCACTAAAATAGGCCTGTTTCGAGGGCTTCAGATATGTGTTCTCACTGAGCATCTGCTGATGCAACTGGGCGCTGTGTGCTGCGGCAGCGGCATTTCCATTGCTGCCACGCGTGCTGCCGGAGCCCGAGGCCTGATCGTCGCCAGCGGACGCGGCGCCGGGCTCTATTCTGTTGTGATAGCCCTCGTTTAGAGACATGCTGTAAGTGTGTTAAAGACACGATAATTAATGTATTAATTTAAATTAATTTAACACCTGTACGTGACAAACAGTTTAATTTCGGCTCGCAATCGGGCAGAAAATTACCAAATGCACCCAACTAAAATAAACTATTTTTTTCGTATTTATATTTGCAACTTTGCACGTGACGACTTCGCAGATAATTTTCCTATATTTATAATACACAATAATGCCTCACATGTTGTCTGACTTTTATTTAGCACAGGCAACAAAAAAATGTTGCCTAATTTAATTGTTTAGCTGGACTTTCCATTAAATTTGCACATCATCGCAATAGATTGAAATTCTATTGTGGAACGGAATTATCAAAATCTGAATAACAAACAAATATAAAATTAATAAAAGCCATAATTTCATTATTATCTGCATTACCAACACATGCCACAAATAACAATTATTATGAGCTAACAGAAATAGGTAATAACTCGGCACATAACAGAAAAGTAAAACTGTTTTAGTCGGGACTAGGCGACTCGTGGATGCCCTTTTTACTTAACTTACGCTCTAATAAGCTATGCTTGTGCTTTAATCAGCTTGGTTGAAAAAAAATCTATTTCAATTGTAGTCTGCAGATGCCCCGTAGGACTAAAGTATAGAGCCGTTTGTTCCTTCCAAAGCCTACAGGGTATATAAATTCGAATGAGCTGCCATCCATAATAACTTGCGGCAAACAAATGAAATAACAAAACAAACAAAATAATATTTCCCGGAACTCTAACTAAATATCTGGCGTGCAAGTACTTTGTCAACAGACGCTGAATTGCCTGCGATTGATAAGACTTAATATAACTCTACTCGTTGTTTGTTAGAGAAACGTTTAAAATTATATATATATACATATATATAGTAGTATTGTTATATATTCTACAATACATTGACTCTGCTTACAGCAGTCTTTCCCCCGAGTCTTAATCAATGTCACAATCTGAATTGATTTGATTTAAATAAATAATCGAATCAATGTTCTTAAATCTATTATTTATTAAACCAAATACAAAGTAAAGTTCCTGGGCTGAATTGAAAAGAAGTTTAAATCGAGGTACCACTGTATGCACATATGAAAACTAAAAGTGTTTTTTTTGTTTGTTTCGCATAATATAAGCAGCATTTGATTATAAAATAAAAATACAATTATAAATTGATAGGAATAGCGAGCGCAATCAGTAGATGAATTCGAGACTTGTTTTTATTGTTATAAAAAAGGAATTGCCTATAAACAAGAACCAATAAATAAATAACAGAACGAGTGAAATTCTGTTTTGGTGTCTTTCGCTCATTTGTACAGCTGTGCTTGAGACTATATAAGCAATTTTCGCATAAACAATAACAAAAGAAAAGAAAACATATGAACAAGTTAATAGCGGATATCGAGCACATCATTTAAGCTGTTGCACAAGTGCACAGGTGAATAACCTGTTGAAAATGCAAACATTTTATATTTTTTAAATTTGATTTGTTATTTTTGTTTTGTTTTTGTTTCTCTTTAGTTTATTTGAATGCTTTGCGATTTTTATGCTGGTTTGCCCTGCGGCTTTAACGCAAACGCGTCTCATCAAGCAGAGCTCTGCACATCTTGTGTATATATATATATATATATGTCTATAAGTAGGTGCCTTGGGCATGTATGGAGCTGGTTGGAAATACCCGACGTCTGGTTCACCTTGACAAAGCGTTGCGCTGCTTTCCACATCGCTTCATCGAGTCGCTGTGGAGCTCGGGCTATACGAATCGTCTAATTATGTTTGGCGCCTTTTAAAGGCCTCGCTAAACATGGAATTTTCATTTTATGGTAAATTGTGACAACTCCGAGTGTTAAGTTCTACGAAAGGCATGTCTTGCCGCAATTTAAAATAGACCAACTTGTGTATACAGCTGCCACATATTATTGTTAAACTTCGCTATAATTCTACTCGGAAGCATATCAGCTATTAAAAGTGTTGAAAAGACGCCCATAAAAAAGTGTTAAAAAGTCGCTCGTTTATAGCGATAACTGTTTTAACAAACATAGGCATATTTTTGTGGATATTTATAGCATAAGCTATGCCATAGACTTATCTTAACTTTACAGCTGCTTTGAACTAAGCGTTAATATTTTCATTAGCAAGAAAACTAAACTCTATCGATTTTAATTTAAAGTAATGGCAATGTTTTAAATATGTTTCCCTCATTTGATTTAAACACCTATTATTATTATTATTATTGTTGTGCATGTCTACAATATTTTCACATACTCTTTGATTAACATTTCTTTGTTCTTTAGGCCAAAATTAGAAAGCTTTCTTTCCATATTGCGTTGCCAAATTGTTGCTGTTTATATAAAAATAAAAAACAGAGGGAAATTTCTGCTATGTCAGCATCGTGCGCTCTTTAAACTGCGCAACTAAATGATATTTAGAAAAAATAAAAGTAATTTCATGAAATATCTAATAAAATCACAATTATTTTTAATTTTTAATTACAACTTTTGAACAAACAATATCGAGACGCAATTAAAAAATCAACTATTTACATAATATCGCTAATCATATTTAATTATGGATGATTATATATTGACAATTTCCTGCCGTACAGAACAATAAAGGCCAACAGGCTGAATTAAATCTTATTTCTTTTTTCTTTAATTCGCATATTCATGCATATTCCATAATAATTGCGTTATTTCAATTCAGCTGGGAATTTGCGTCCATTGTTCAGGTATGATATTTCAGATTGGGACACTGCTTATCAACAGCAATGGGCTGCATTATAAATTATTAAGCAATCTGGCAACTGCCCGCTACTACAGAGAACCAGACCGAAGCAATTACAATCGTTGTGACGAACATCAAATACCCTTGCCGTTAGACCAGACCAATTTGACTAGAAACACGCAGAAAGGGGCAAGGCTATATCGACTCAGCTTCTAATACTGAACAAAAATATAAATATATATATATGTATATGTGTAAATATGTATATGTATATGTATATATACTGCAGTCTCCCGTAATGCGTTATACATTTCGTCAGAAATTTATAATAGCCTCTGCAAGTGTATACTAGGCAATATTCTCTTCAACTAATTGACCATCTATCTCTCTCTGTCTCCCTCTCGCGTATAGCCGGTGTGCGTGTGTTGTAGCTCTCAGCATTAGCACTTTTTTTTTTGTTCGTTTTTGGCGCACCTGCCTGCGCACTCACACACAGGCACAAATAAAACACATGGCGGAAAGGTAACAAAAAATAAATGCAACCATAAGTCATTAGAATAGCAGAGTAAACCGTTAATTGCATATTGTTTAATGAAGTCTAGCACAATGTACAAAAAACAATTAACTTAAACGACACATACTTGCGACAGCTCGATGATTAGTAGGCGGCAGTAAAATTACAAAATAAACAATTACACGGCGTCGTTATAGATGAATATTTATGCAGTTGTTAATTTAACAAACACACACACACACACAGAAACACAATCTAACCGAACTAAATAAAAGTATATTGCGCTTAGTAGTAATGCATAGCCAAATGCACGAAATTGCTTTTGTTGGAACCAATTAGAAGTTCGGTGACGTTGACCGTTCGCTGCTCGGCTCAACTTTTGGAACGATTTGCCAGCGTCAGAGCTTCAGCAGCTTCTGCCACACGCTGCAATTGTTAATTTTGCGCGAGTTGTATTCAATCAATCGCACGCGCAACATCCGCGACGCGTTCAATTGTTTGTTTTTATTATTTTTGGCGTCTTTTTTTTTTGCTTTTCTTTTTTTTTCTTTAATTTATGTTGAGCAATATTGTGATTGTGATTGTGGCTTGTGCTTTAACGCACCCAGCTGCTTTCTTTTTCATTCGCACTCACGGCCAGACTATTTACACCAAAAAACAGCTGTTCACACGTAGACCAAATTCAACTCAATTAGGGATATGTACTATCGATGTATCGATACATCGTCTTCTGTTATTCAGTCCAGGCGAACAGCTGTGCGACTGTCGTGCTCGTCGTCGTCGTTGGACGTTGAGTGACTGCTAGTGCAAGCCGTTGCCGCAATATATATAATATATTCATAGTATATTGAAATTGAGCGTAGCTGCGCTCACGAACCGCACTGATAGCGTCTGTGAGAGAGCGAACCCGACATTTTTGATGGGGGATTTTCTGATAATGTCTTATGATTCGTTATGTTTGCTGAAGCACGCTCTCTCGAAAGGACAAAGGCAATCTGCATTGTCAAAGCCGCTTAACGTTCCAGCAACAATTCCATTACAATAAAAACCGCTATCAGTGAACTTTTCCCAGCTATCTCAATTGGCATAGGTTCGCGATTGTCTGCATGAGCACATCCAGGCCAAATTTATCTAGGTCTACAATCATTTTGACAGACAATTCGCATTGATAACTCGAACGTTTTTCGCTACACGCACACGTTATCATAATCCCCTATTAACATCTTGTCGGCAACAGCTCCCAATAATTTGTACCGACAATCTTCCGATACGATTGATACGATCCATATAAACCAAAATCCTGCTCAACCTAATTGATATATAATTGTATATATGCATATATATTGTGTCAGAGATAAGGGATTGATATATGCATGTATGGGCGACCAGATATGATGTAAAAGAACCCCCATAAAACATTGTCACATGTTTCTTTGTCAAGGCATGATTCATTCACTTTACAACTGATTAATACGAGAATGTGCCCACGCAAATGGAAAGTGTTTCAACATTTATTTTATGCCATTCCACATGTTATTCGAAACGAACGGTACAAGTCCATATATGACTGTACGCCTGACCTCCATTTTAAACTCTATACTCTTATAATTTCAATGGATAATGTCAGCTGGTATAATTATGTAATAATGAAAATTTCAATTTAATCAAGACCTATTTTATATAGTTACAAAGAAACTTTATTACGCTTTTCTTTATCAAAAGAACAGACTTTTTGTTGTCAGAGTGTCTTTAACAATCTTAATGAAAACATTTATAAACTATATATAAGTGAGCACACTTTTGACACATTTTGTTAAAAACATTTCAGACAATTCAAAACACATACAATTACAATTTGCACAAATAATTTTTTAAAAACTTTCTGCTAAGTATAAAAAAAGAGTATAAATAGTTTTGTTTTGGCATATTTTTTGAAAAATACGCACATAAAAATACAAAAGAATGTTAAATACAATTTTGTAAATCGATAATGAATGATATATATGATTATATATAAAAGAAAATGGAATATATTGCGTGCGGGGCATGAGAGAGCGTTGTAAAATGTAACAGAAATTAAAAAAGAAATTTACAGAAAATAATTTCAACAACAACGTCTCTTCGTTGCAAGTAGAAAACATTAATAAAGCATGCACGTTATATAAATATAAACGATGACTCAGTATTTTGATTTAACATGATTTCGCTGTTTAAGTAGTTATTGTATAATTTGATTTTGTTCTTGAAAATAATTTCAAATGAATGAATTCGCCTGCGCCAGCATTGCCAGCGATTAGGAGCTTTGATTGATAACTTGCACATAGTTGGCCGGAAAGAGGCCGTAGCGATTCTTGCACAGGCCACGCCACCAGCCGTCATCGATTTTCTCAATGTGTGTAACGACATCGTCGGGATCAAAGGATATTTCATCATCATCAGCTGCCTGGTAGTCGTATAATGCAATTGCATGTGTTCCGGTGTCCTCTAGATAGTCCGCCAAATTGTCCGAATTGGCATAGATGGCCTCTTCGGAAGCAGCCGCTGAACCATTTGCTGCTGGTGTGGGTGATGCAGCAGCTGGCATTGGCGACGCCGACTTGATCTCTGCCTGGTTTTGATAGAGCGGCTCTGACTCCGGCTGTGGTTCTGGTTGTGACTGCACTTGCACCTGCACCTGCGCCTGCGGCTCTGGTGCGGGCGTTTGCTCAACAACTGACACATGGGCTGGCGATTGAGGTTCGCTTGACGGTGGCGTTGCAACAGTGTCAATCTCTATTTGGGGCACCACATCCGGCGGTGGTGCACTGACTTTCGGCTCTGCTCCCACAATCTCTTTGGCCACAGCGGCTGGCGGTGCGGCGGGCTGCTCAACTACAGCCGGCTTAGCTGCTTCGACGGGCGCTGGCTCCTTGGGTATGACAATGGGCTCCTTGCGTGCTGGTGGTGTCTCTGTAACCGGCGACTGCATTTGATTAAATGCACTGATAGCATTGCCTATGCCACCGGAACGTCCAGTTTGTATGGCTGTTCGGCTGCCCTTTACGGGCGGCGTGCGCGCCTCCTCGGCAGATGGCAGCGGCGTATTCTCTACAATCGTTTGCTTGGCGGCTTCCTCGCGATCGCGTTTGTCTTTAGCTTCACGCAGACGCTTCTGCTCCTCGGAACGCTTGCGTGTCTCCTCCTCGGAGTTTTTGGCCAAATTCTCAAATTTGGCACGCAAATTTGACGGTTTGGCGCCTTCAATGATGGGCTTGACTTTGTGATCCACCTGACTGGCATGCTTTTGAGGCGCCTCAATGTGATCCCAGCCAACGGCTGACTTATCCTTGCGATCCTCCTGCACGCCAAACTTGCCGCCAAAGCCTTTAGAGTAATCTGCAAGAAACAAGGTTAAGTTAACTAACTATTAACACAATTGCTATTGGAGGCCAAGCTCACCCTTCTGCGACTCGTGTTTCTCCACCTTTTCGATGTGATCCCAGCCTAATGCTGACTTGTCCTTGCGATCTTCCTGTACGCCAAATTTACCGCCAAAGCCCTTAGAGTAGTCTACAAAGGTGTTTTTTTTTTAAATTAAACAAGACAATTGATGAGGTTTTTGCTACGACTTACCCTTTTGGGATTCGTGCTTTTCCACCTTTTCGATATGATCCCAGCCCAAGGCCGATTTATCCACGCGATTCGTTTGTACGCCGTATTTGCCGCCAAAGCCTTCGCTGTAATCAACCTGCGAGGCGTGCTTGTCCACTTTGCCCTGGTAATCATGTCCCACCGCCGATTTGTCCATGCGATCCTTCTCAACGCCAAATTTTCCACCGTAGCCGTAACCGGCATTTTGATCCTTTAACAATTGTTTTTTCATGTTTAAATCCGATTTTTCCGTCTCTTCGCGCAGCTTGTCCATGCTGATGTAGTTTGTTATTAAATATTTATAACGGTACGTTGACCTAAAAAGTGACTCACTCAATGGCTCCACCTCCATCGCGTCCGCTGCCATCAATTGTCTTGGAGCCCCAGCGCTGCTCTTGTTCACTGACATCGTTAACGAAGTCGGGATCCGTTTCCCAATCATCGTCCTCGGCTGCGCTTGTTGCTTGTATCTGATGGCCGGCAGTTGCTTTCCACATACTGGCTAATTCTTATCTGCATTCAACGTTGGCACCAAAGATAAAAAACAATGACAGGTTTTTTTTCCAAAGAAAAATGTTGATAGTGCAGGGAGGGGCTGGTTCCGTCGAGCTTTGAAATGGCACCCTTTGTGCACGTACTTACGGAGGTGAAATATTTCTCAAGTGAGCAGGATTTCGCAAAGATGCGAGCTAATTTTGTAACACTTAAATTTGAAGTCTTAGGCTTTAAACAATCAATTTAAATGCTATGCAGCTCCACAGTACACAAGAGTTATTGTTAATGAACCGGTCGAATAATCGAACTCGTGAAATCGATTTACTTTCGTTCTTGTGAACTGCATCATGCGTTGTATTTCCAGTGCTGTACAACGCTGGAATGCAAAGTGCGCGGTAACAGTTAATGTGTCCACGCATTTGAAATGTACTTTATTTGTCAAACATTACTATAGCTAGGCATAATTATAACATATTTTTATCTTTTGCCGATAAGACCTTTATCAGCATCACTCAGCTTCCATTCCAATGATTCATACATTGTTATTTTACGAACAAATGTGTGTGTGTGTGTAACATATGAGTGCGCAAGTTGAGATCAAAAATAACAAAAGCGACCGAACTTTGTAAGCCATACACATACACATACGCATACATATATGTGTGTAATATTGAGAGAGCTTTTCACAACGCAGTCATGAGACAATATCATGACGTAATTATATGACAATATACTCTCAATAGCTTAGTTTTACAGCCACCGGCTAGGACAGGGCTGCAGTGATGTAGTTCCGAAAATGAATATTTTTTTTACTGATCAACAATTGAGATTGCTTATTTTTAATTTCAAATTATACAAATGAATTTTTATTTTTTATTTTTGCATATTTAAGAATTAATCTTTTTATTTTTCCACAAAAAATAAGCAAAGCTCCTGAGCAAGAATACAAGTGCATATCTATAATCCATGAGCTTGCCAAACATAAGGCAACAGTTCCGCTCTTTGAATATTGCCAGAGGCCCTGCGAACGCCTCCACACCAACAACACCCATTAAGCTCTCTCTGTTACTCTCAGATCCGTTACGCCGGTTTTTGGGGCGCATATAAAACCCCATGACGAGCGCACAGCGGTTTCAGTATTTATTTCACATCGCTAAGAGTTCGCAACGCTTAACGTCTCCAAACTTTGTACGTATTGTGTGGGAATATCACTAGATAAATTTTTAGAATTCCTCTCTAGTTACTTTGTTTATTTTCGCTGTGTCTTTTGCATGTATGTATCTACACACACACACACACACACATATGCATATACAAATACGACACTCTCATGTCTGCTCAGATTAAAGTCAACAAGAAATTCAAGTGAAAAGTAAAAAGCAATCAAGAGTGCAAACAAAGTGAATAAATAGGTTTGTTTTTGGCATTATACAAATTTTTGGGCGCGGCAGAAAATGAACAGTTTTTATACGTGGCGCATATTAAACAATTGTTTTCTTTATTATAATACCAAAGACACACATACATACATACATGTATATTCTAGTACTATATTTGTATGTAATTTGGCACATTGTCTGATTTGGATTAAAGAAAAACTGCGCTGGCAAAGATGACATCATCAAAATGTTCAAATGAAGCTGCACAAAACTTTTAGCGGCGCGCTCTCAACGCGCTCTCTCTCTCTCTCTCCCTCTCTCTCTTTTTCTGCTCTCAATCGCAGACGCGTGCGACTTTTCCAGGCTATGTTTTTTTCAGTTGCCTTTGGATAAGCTCAAATTTATACACAGATATAACATACTAATGTATGTATATATCGACACTTGATGGATGTTTAACTGTCGAAATTTAATTGAATTTGTTTGCTCTCAGCCTCCATCTTTTTTGCAAGTATGAACTTAGTTTTCTGCTATCTTGAGTGCCAATCAACTCAATTGCTCAATAGCGAATCTGCTTTGGGTACAGTGAATACTGTGTACATGTGCTACTCGACCACATTCCATTAAAAGTAAATAGCTCGGTAAATGTACATATGTATATAATTGCATGCACATTATAAGGTGCGTCATCAAGGTTTATAACGAAGCTGTTAGTTGACTTCAACTTGCAAAATGTAACAAATTAAAAAGAGCAAAAAAAATAATAATAATCAAGGTACAGTCAGTCACTACAAGTTGAAATAAATAATTTTTTATTAGCTAAATGAAAAGTTTATTCACACATTTTTACCATGTCACGAGCTTTTGTAGTTTACTGCCACAAAAAAAAACCACAAGTCATATTACAAGCATAGGCTAAAGCTTCGCTTAACATTGCGGTTAACATATAACTTTCCAGAAAATCCAGTTTCTGTTTTACGCTCTGTTTAGACGCTCCGCCCAGCCGCCAATGTTTGACGTCACAGTTAAGCGCTCTTGAAAATCAGCTCATGCTCATTATGATTCATGATCAGCGTCTCAATTAGATGAGCTCTCGTTCTTATGAGTCCGACAGCTATTTATAAACAAATTATTAGTATTCAATCCATGCTATTGTTGACATATTTCTGGAAATGCCTTGCAGGCTCGTTGTTGTAGCGCATTCCAAAACAACTTTTCCAGCTCTTTCTTGCTGCGTGTTTCAAATTAGAATCAGAGAATCAGGCAAACAGACGATTCCGTGTGACGTATGTATGCGTGTGTGTGTAAATTATATGTGAACCGGTTCCAGTGCTAACTTTTGGAAGCACAAGCATTTTTTTTGTGTTTTTATAGCTAGCTCTTTTTGTTTATACATACATACATACATATGTACATATGTGGCGCTGTGCAGAGGCGTTGCTGTCGTGGTTTGGAACCGTGCCACGTCATTTTTTTGTTATTTGTTAGTTTCCAGTTTATTTTTTTTATTGACTTTCTAGGCCTGGTGCTGTATGTACATTTTTTTTAGCTGTAGGGTTTTGTGTTTGTGCAATTTATCATAGCAAAAGTTTGGACATATTGATATTTGTTATTTCCTAGGCTTAAAGCAAATTGAAAATAAGTAATACTTGTTGAAAACTGACAAAAGAACGAAAAAAACGCGAGCTATAAAACATATTTCTATATACTCTAACACAAATGAGCTCATCCGAAGTCCCAGTTGATTGTGTTCCAGAAAAAAACAACTTTATTACGCATACGCACCGCTGACTGCACCCACAAGTTTTCAGCTTATCAACTGACCCAAGCCCAAGCCTATTTTTGTTTTAAAACTTTCACTCGAACACCTTGCGGTGAACTCTATAAAAAAAAAACACAGCTGCAGGGCAAAAGGAAAAGTTTTGTTGTAGTTGTGTTGAGGCGCCACAAATACTACGCGGCGTATGCGTAATGGCCCAGACACGAAGCATGCCATGTTTACTTTTCATAGTTGATGATGTCATGCGGTCGGCAGGTTTCTGCATTCCCATAGCTATTTTATACGCCAACTATGTATAGCCTGACCTTGTCGTAGTCCAATTTACAAGCCTTCTTTTTGTAATCAACAGGCCTCTAATTTAGTCACTCGATCATTATGAATTATGTTTTTTCTTGTCTGCTTTGCATTTACAGATTTTAAACAACCAGCAAACAAGCTAAACAACAAGCAATCATGAGCTCCGCTGAGTACTATCCATTCAAGGTAAATAGCATATACATTTTAAAGGTTATCTTTCATCGCCAAATAGCCAATTATTGTTAATTAAACCATTAAGACTTTATCGATTTTCTGTCGAGTACTCAACTCGATTTGCAGTCTTATCTATTTAAAGCGTGCAGATAAGAAATGCTCAGGCAGAAATTAGTAATACGAGAATTTCCAAAAACAAAATCTATAACGATAAAGAAGGGCTATCTTCAGCATGCCGAAGTTTTCCATAGAACAATTTAATTTTCGACCCATATTGATAGGAATTTGCATTTATACAAGGAGCATAGTAAAGCCAATAAATGCCAAGTTTCGTCAAGATATCTTAATAAACAAAAATGTTTTTTATACAAGAACCTACTTTTCGACCGATCGTTCCTATGGCAGCTATATGATATAGTGGTCCGATGTAAATAAGATTTTGCTTAAATATAAAGAGCATAGTGGGACCTATTAATGCCGAGTTTGTTAAAGTTATCTAGAAAAACAAAAAAGTGTTCTATACAACAACTGTATTTTCGACTGATCGTTCCTATGGCAACTATTAGATATAGTTGTCCGATGTTAGGATTTTGTATATAAATGAGCAGCATAATAAAACTAAAAAATGCCGACTTTGATAAAGATATCTTGTTAAACAAAAAAGTTTTCCATACATTAACCTACGTTTCGATCGATCGTTCCTACGGCAGCTATATGATATGAACTTCGTACAACAGAAAGAAACACTTCTGTAAAGTGTTGTTTTATACTTTGAATAGCGCGAAACAAGAATCGAACTTAGGTTGAAAAAATATAATTTTTATTGCAACATTCATCATGTGTACGAGACCCTGGAAATGCTCATATGTATATATAATAGGGAAAAAAAACTGGCATGACGAATTTGGGAAGTTTACGTGTCGTACGTGAATATAAAACAATTCAGTGGCATTATTCACGAATATTCATGCATTCATTACGTATTCATTGCACTTGTCAGCAAATATTTATGCTCACGTTTACTCATTCGCATTTGCAGTGCACACCCACCGTTTACCCCGCGGATCCCTTTGATCCCGTCGAGGATGCGGCCATTCTGCGCAAGGCCATGAAGGGCTTTGGCACCGATGAGAAGGCCATCATTGAGATCCTTGCCCGTCGCGGCATTGTCCAGCGTCTGGAGATCGCCGAGGCATTCAAGACCGCCTACGGCAAGGATCTGATTTCGGAGCTGAAGTCCGAACTGGGCGGCAAATTCGAGGATGTGATTGTGGCGCTGATGACGCCGCTGCCGCAGTTCTATGCACAGGAGCTGCACGATGCCATCTCCGGTCTGGGCACCGATGAGGAGGCCATCATTGAGATACTGTGCACCTTGTCGAACTATGGCATCAAGACCATTGCCCAGTTCTACGAGCAGGGCTTCGGCAGGTCCCTGGAGTCGGACCTTAAAGGCGATACCAGTGGACACTTCAAGCGCCTGTGCGTCTCGCTGGTGCAGGGCAACCGGGATGAGAACCAGGGCGTCGATCAGGCGGCCGCCATTGCCGATGCCCAGGCGCTGCACGATGCCGGCGAGGGCCAATGGGGCACGGATGAGTCCACCTTCAATTCGATTCTGATCACGCGCTCGTATCAGCAGCTGCGTCAGATTTTCCTCGAATACGAGAATCTCTCCGGCAATGACATTGAGAAGGCCATCAAGCGTGAGTTCAGCGGCTCTGTGGAGAAGGGCTTCCTGGCCATCGGTGAGTCATGCCTAACGCCAATAAATGATTCATTCTATAATTCATATTGTTTATTCTCCAGTCAAGTGCTGCAAGTCCAAGATTGACTATTTCTCTGAGCGTCTGCACGATTCCATGGCCGGTCTTGGCACCAAGGACAAGACGCTGATACGCATTATTGTCAGCCGCTCCGAGATCGATCTGGGCGATATCAAGGAAGCATTCCAGAACAAGTACAACAAGAGCCTGGAATCGTGGATCAAGGTAAATATTCGTTTTATATATAATATTTGGGCAATAGCATGCTTAATACATTTGTGGTGTTGGGCACTGAGTATGCACTTAGAAATCTATGTCTATATAGTATAACTGTACTAAATCTAATTGTAATTAGGCACACATAGTTAATATATTCTCAGACAACCAGTTCGAGTTCCATATAATATTACATTCCATGACATACCCGCAAGCTGTTAACAGCTGTCGAAAAAAAAGCTTCTATCATTCAAAAGCACTCTGTTAATTGCATAGCCATCAATTAACAGAGCATGTACAGTTGCCGCAATTAATGTACTATTAGACCTTGTTCTTTATATGAAAACATTCTCCATCTCCATTAGTTTTTATCGGTTGTACACTCATGTTTGCTTATATACTTACTTCATTTGTGTGCTGCATAAAACATTAAAACTTGCCATATTCTATATTTTTAGGGCGATACATCTGGCGATTATAAGCGTGCCCTATTGGCTATTGTTGGATTCTAAAAAAGAAATCACATGCCCCAAACCAACAATACAAAAATTGTCACTGTCGTGTCTGTTCCAAGCCTTAAGCACACACATATTGTACAAAATTTGACTATCGAATAGTTAGACCACATATACATATATAAATCTTATATGTACCTATATATACATATATATATATATATATATACTATATGATCTACGAATGCAAATGTGGAACACAGACTTACGAGCAACGCAGTGCATTTAATGAGGCCTACAGTCGCATCACATGTTAATTAGTATACATAATTTTATGCACACTCATTGCACATAGTTTTATCTCAATTTTAACTATACCTTTATATATATATATATACATACATATGCCTTGCTATATCTGCAGCTTATGTTTTTTGTTTTTTATTATTTGTCTCGAGTCTCATTTGCAAAAAGTTCTAAGTTACAATATTGTTAAAAACAAACAAAACGCAACAATAAAAGCAAATAAAATCTAATTAATTAGGCGTCATTTTGTACTTTATACATTTGAATTGTATTTGCCGTTGCTGCTTCTTCTTCTTGTGTTTAACAGAAGCAGCGTTTTGCAATACTTTGTTGCTTGCCATGTTACTAACAGCGCGCTGTTAGCGCTTAACATAACACCTAACACTGGGCCAGCGGTTATTTTTCTTTAGCACCAAGCAACTAAAAAAAACAACAACAAAAATGTATACAAAATAACGCGTTTAATGCTCTGCTCTTTTTACGCTTCTCTCTTCAACGTGTTTACGCAATTTACAACACACACAAACACACAGGAGGATGCGAACACTGAAATTGGATATTTGCTTGTGACGGTCGTCGCTTACTAGAAGAGCTGCCGTGCGCCCAAGTATAAGAGTTGTAGGGTCTTATACAGCTGTGCAATAGAAATGCCAAAAATATGCATTTTCGAAGACAAGAGAAAGAACCTGAAATTATTAGTGTTGTGAAGTGCTTCAATTCCAATTGTAATTCTCATTAAAATGTTTTTTTCTTAAACGTATTTTTGAAAGGCAGCCTGTCTGTAATAGCGTCTAACGTTTATATTTCTCTGCAATGTGCAAAATTAATATTATTTTAACGTTTCTTTATATTTTGTATACATTTTATTTGTATATTATACATCTCTAGTGGTATTTTGTGCTTGTGCTATTAACAAATAAAAAAGTAAAAGCCAAAGGAACAAATTGCAAAATTCGCAGTTTTTAAACCAAACCCAAATTTTTTTCGTTTCATTTACAGGATGATATTTCCGGCGATTACAGCTACGTGCTGCAATGTTTGGCTTCATACTAAATTTAGTACATGATTTATCAAAATACATTTCATTATTTGTTGTATTCCTTTCTTTTAGCCAACTTTTAACTTAATATTAAAAATGTTGTTTTGAAAATTCCTAACTACTTGTCTTTTAAATGCTTTTGATTCTTTTGTCTGTGGCTGCGCTTAATTTTAAGTAAGAAAAAAAACCGTTGACCATTTGAAAATGTGCGAGGAAATACGTCCAGTTGCGTCAACTTTGAAATTGTGGGCGTAGCAGGCACGCCTATTTGGCCACACGCTCCTGGTAGGCGGCCCAGAGACGATCGCGATAGCTGGCCGCCGTCTTCTCCACATTTGAGGCCTGGAGAATGCCGCGTCCAACAACGCCAATATCGGCGCCACGCTCCTTGACCACATGCTCCGGCGTTTGATATTGCTGTCCCAGCTTATCGACGCCCTCATCGATTTTCACGCCCGGCGTTAGCTGTATCAGACCGGGAAAAGCAAAGCAATCGGCAGACTGACAGACGACACCAGCCACAAAGTCGACATCGCCGCCCTCGGTGGCAATCTTGTTGCTGTTCTCCTTGTACTTTTCATCGATCAGATTTCCGCTGGCGGACATTTCGGCCAGCAGAAAGACGCCACGCTCCTTGGCGGAATTAGCACCGCCGAGTGCCGCCTTCAGGCCCTGGACAATGCTGCGGCCGGGCAGCGTGTGCGCTGTCACCAAATCCGCCCAGTTGGCTATCTTATACAAGCCCTGGCCATACTGCAGCGATACCGTGTTTCCAATGTCCGCAAATTTGCGATCCTCCATAAGCAGGAAATTGTGTCGCGTGGCCAGCGCCTGAAGATTGACAATGAAACTCTCGCTGAAGTCCGACACAATGTCCACATGGGTTTTGAGCAGGCAAATGTAGGGACCGCACTTGTCGGCCATGTCCAGAATGGCATCCGCCTCGCTCAGATCGGCGGCCAGGCAGAGATTGGTTTGCTTCGTGGCCATCAAATTAAACAGCCGCTTGGCCACCGGACTCTTGGCCAAGTTGGCGCGACTCTCGTAGGTCAGTTTGGTGCGCGAAAAGTCGTTGGCTTCTGTCAAAACGAAAGAAATTTCAGATATGAACACATAAGTTATCAGCAAATGTTTTGTTGTATATACTTTAAGTAATTCACTTTTGTACACTATGCGACAAAAATAAATATAAGAGACAACAAGATAAGGGCCATAAACTAGAAGCAGACAGCAATTTATGCTTCTTCTACCCTGTCTCAGTTCTCAAAATATGTATTCTTTAATAACTTTGATGTTGATTAGGCGTTTCATATGAAACTCTCAGGCCAAAAAGATGGCATTCATATGTTTGCATATACCAGAAATCAGAAAAGTTGAACTAAAAGAATTGTAAACATTTTGGAGAGTGGAGAAGGGCAATCGAAAGGGGGGTTTCTTTTTACAGATCTGTGTATATGTAAAAACCTTCATACAAAATGCGATTCTTGGCACTTCTATCCTACGATATATGTTGATATGGGATAAAGGGATTGGATTATCGCTGCTTATCGATTTTTAGATATAGTGTGGGAGCCTTTTCTTATTTTTAAAATCAGACTTTTGATGATCTTCCAATTAAACTCTCTTTACTTCAATATATTTCGAATATCTTAAGAGTCTTCGTGGAAAAATACGATCGAAAAGGGAAACTTTGCCAACCGAAAGGTATATCAAGAATATATGTACATACATATTCTTTCACATTTCGTGAGAATATTAAAGTACGGATTTATGCAATATATGCGTCCATTTGAATTCAATCACCTGCTATTTGGAGTGCTAATAAAATTGGGTGCTATACTGAATCATATCTATGATAGAGTCGAGTGCAGGTCATATATTTTATATCTGATATGATTAACCATGTCGGACGCGGTCGAATTAAAGCAAATTAGACAATTTACGAGCTGGGACTAACAGCTGCATGGATAGATATACATATTATATAATTTTTATTGGAGCAGCTGGCAGGGTGGGAGGGGGGGGGGGAGCTGGCACTGTGCTGTGGTCGAAATTGGTTCTGGTTGTGGCCCGGATTTCATCTAAATTAACGCGCGCATATGTCAAGTTTATGTGATTGTCTGCCATATCTGGGATCACGATTCCACTTACCGGCCACGCTCTTATCGCCGCCAATAAACGAGCCATCGCTGTTTATCTGGACTGCTGCAATATACTTGGCTACCGCATCCACTGTGGCCTTCTCGATGTGCCCGGCCTCGTGCAGCGTGTTGAGCAGAAAGGAGAGCGTGAACAGGGAATGCATGCGCACGCCGTGCTTGGCTATGTTGGCGGCGCCGCCCTGTTCCCGATCGACGACGACAACGGCATCGGTGACCACAATGCCCTCGCTCTGCAGATCACGGACAGTGTCCAGTATGCTCGAACCGGAGGTGACCACATCCTCGACAATCAGACAGGTGTCGCCGGCCTGATAGATGCCCTCAATCAGCTTCTTGGTGCCATACGCCTTCGCCTCCTTGCGGCGCACCAGCATGGGCGTGTGCTGCTGCACCGAGACGATGGTCGCCAGCGGCAGCGCGGTGTACGGCACGCCGCAGACGTGCTTGGAGCTCAGCTGCAGATCTTTAATGTGCGCCACCAGCAGATCGGAAACGGTTTGCTTTGATAGTCATAAGAAAAACAGCTGTCAAATGATTGATTTTAAATAGTATTATACCACCTACCATCACATCTGGATAGCTAACTATAACGCGCAGATCGAAGTAAACCGGAGAATTAATGCCGACCTTCATTTTGTAATCGCCAAATTTGAATGCATTGATTTGAAACAATTTGACCGCTAACGCTTTCATCTCATCCGTGTTCTTGGCCACCATTTTGCTGCGTTTCTTTCAAATAATTTAACCTAGACTTAAATCAACACGACCACGTTTATTCCACACGTGTGAAGTTGGCCTGATTCAAAGAAAACACGTCCGGCTGCCGCAAAGTATCAACAAACATTAAACACAAGTGTTGCAGGGCGTCGAGCATATGAGCGCCCCGCTCAAATGGGACTGTTAAATATACTAGACTGTTAACTTAACATTGTTGAATTTTGATACTGACTTTGGTGTACATTTTTATTGGTAAATACAAGTTTTGTGCGTGCAATTAGAAAACTTTTAGCACCCATTCCAGTGCAATGGCAATGCATACACTACATTACAATAGAAAGATTGGTGACATAAATCATTCATTTCAACGCAACTTTATATGAAAAACATTCTTAAAACCTGGCTGTCAAACCCGGCTGTATTATAAAAAAAAAAAAGATTCAATAAAGCTGAGATTAATTTAAGACTTGATAAATTAGCCGCAAATCGTTATCTTATGCCGTTTTTGTGGTAACGTGCTTTACAGCGCTTATCGATATTAAGTTTACATAAATCGATTAATATTTTGAATGAATATGGCGGCAGCAGAAGTTAAACTACTTGTTGCATGCAAGGGTATCGAAGGGAAATAGACCGTGGAAAGTGGGAATTTTCAGAGCTCAATGGCTAAAAAAGCGATCGCACCAGTGGGAAATTTTATAAGTATCGAATCAAGTTTCAAAATATAAAGCAATACCCTTACAAATTTGAAGCACATTAACAATAATACGAAGCTTGTTTTAGGTGATTATAATTTATTAGAATTTTTATTGACTTAAATTATACATATATATATATATGTATATATATATATATATATATATAAATAAAATATTATTCAAGTACAAAGTTATATATACTCATTATTATTATTTAATTCAAGTAAATATAATTCAAAGTGTGTGTTTTGTGTGTCTGTGTGTATTTTCTCTTGCTATTTATTAGGTAAGTACAATTTACTGTATCCTTGCTCTCCCATTGCCGTACAACAGCAGATTTTCCAACTTAGTTTTCTTTTAAAGTCAAGTATATCGGATGCTTTAAATAATTTCATTTTTTTTTTTTTTGGATCACAAAACAGTAAATGTCTTAAACGAGTCGAAAATTGTTATTGAATTAAACATAGTTAAAACAAATTTTAAGTTGTGTAATTATAAAAATATTGTAGCTGCTGCTGGTAACTTGTTATTCTCTCTAATTTTGTATATTTTGTTTTTTTTTTTTTTTAATTTGTTTTGTTTTTTAATTTATTTTTAGCTCGAAAGTATGCCTAACCTTAAACCAATGTCGTCTCCAAGCCACGCGCGCACATTTTCGCTTTGTTTTTAATTAATTTTGTTTTTTGTTCTCGTCGTCCACATCCTTGTCCATAACACTCGCCATTTTGTTTTTAAACGCTACGTTGCCTTAACTTCAGTCCTTTCGCAGAAAACCTAACCTTAAAATGTATTAAGCTTTGTTCATTTCATTTGCTCTCTTCTCAACATCATTCGTATTCGTTTTTGTTTTTGTTTTTCTTTTTGTTTTTGTTTACATTTTCAATACATTTGCTGCCGACACTAAACATAGTACAATACAAATACTTTTATTTTCTCTTTTTTTTTTCGTGTTTAGGGTATATATAAAAAGGGGTTTACATAATATAATTTGCCAGCCTGCCTGCCGCCTGCTTTACTGTACTTCTAACTACAATTCTAACCTCATCTTTGGCCGCACACTTCCGCTCATATTCCACATTCTCCACATTCTGCACATTCTCGTTCCGTTAGTTTGTAAATATGTAAATTGTAATACATTTCATTTAAATTCACTAAGAGTTGCACGGACTGTGTGTAATTGTGTGTCTGTCTGTGTGTGTGTGTGTTTTTTTTTTTAATTATTTAAATCATTTTTGTTGTTTTCCTGCTTTTTTTATACCTTCGCTAAACCAATTTAGTTTTCGTTTTCTTTTAATATTTGGAAAAATATGTTTTGTTTATAAGTTCGTTTTGTTTATGTTTTCTTTGCTGTTTTATGCTTTTTTTGTTTTCTTTATCAAATGCCAAAAATTTGTGCAAATTTCTAATGAATTTTTGAATTTTTTTGTTTTCGCTTTTGTTTTTGCTTTACACTAAAATATTTAACTTTAAAATGTATCATTTTAGTTTAAGTTTTTTTTTTTTCGTTTTTTCGTTTTTTTTTGTATTTAGTTTCATTTAAAATATTGCATTTTTACTTTATATTTTTTGTTTTTAGTTTACATTTTTTTTTTTTTTTGTTTTGTTTGTTTGGAGGCTTCATCCCTGAGTGATTTAATTTCCTTTGTTTGTCATTTATTGCAATTTCTTTTTGTTGAAGTTTATAAACTTATTGTTTTATAATGTCTTATTTGTGATTTATAAGAGTATGCAAAAACGGAACCAAAACAATTGCGAATTAGATAAGTTTGCGTGGGCTTTGAAGGTTGCTTATTTGTTTATGGGCTCTGCGACTCGTTTCGTTTAGTTCTTGTCTATATGAGATTGAGACATTTATCCTTTGAATGGAGGGAGGGGGCAAACTACGTAAATCTTAGCCAAAAATGTGCTATATACTATTAAGTAGTAACTGTACTTAAGCTTGTTTTGTTTTCGGTTTTTATTTTTCTGGCTATTTGTTATATGTAACTTTTGGCTAATACATTTTGTTGGCTTATTGTGGTTGCTGTTCTGTTTGTATTTGTAATTAGTATTTGTACTTTACTGCAAGTATTTGAATTTATTTTCTGTACTCAAAGCAACGCACAAAGCCACAAAACGGAAAATTCCCAACGAGAATTTCCCATTTCCCCTTAAGCTGCTGCGCAATCTTCAATCACGTACACATTATTATATAATAATATATATGTATATATGAATATGCCTGGAACATAATTAGCATATACATATACAGCATAAAATAGTTAGTACATTGATTACTACACAAAATATGACACTACATCAATTGGGTATGCAAAATAAAAAAAAAATAACCAAAATACGTATGCTTAACAAAATACTGGGAATTATATTCAAATGCTGCGATGAGCAACAAGTTTCATGTGCGTAACTGGTTCTTCGAAAAACTCTTCGAAATGCGTATAAGAGCGCACTAATGCAAATTTAGCTATTTTGTAGCCATATCAGTAAGCTAATTCAGCTAGACTTTTCTATAGCTATTTTTACACGGGCTTCAGCTACTTTTTTGTAGCGGCAGTTGGCAACACTGGTTGAGAGCAGTGCCTCAGATTCCAATTGCTCTTTAAATATAAGATAAGTTTCTTATAAGAGAAACTTGTTGCCCAAGGCGCATTTTTTTTGTTTTGCCTCATTTCAGAAAACTAATTAGAATTGAATGTGAAAAGAAAGAAAAACCGAAATACCGCATTACAACTATTTGGTTTTAGATTCTTTGCTTTTTGTTTTTAATGTATATTAGTTTGAAGCATTCCGTATAACTATATGTAAATATGCTGGTACCACATATGATAAAATGTATATTGGTATTGTTTAGATCTTTACATTAATCTCGTTAATCTCAAAAAATGCTATGTATTTGAACAGTTAATTACGTTTTCACTTGCACGAAGTGTTTGCACTTTATTTCGGTTATTGTTTTATGCCTTTCATTCACTTTGTTTTACATTTTCTTTAACTTTCTTTTTTTCTTCATTTTTTTTTTTTGTTTTTTTTTTTTTTTTGGTATAAGTTGATTTTCTCTTCTTTTGTATTTATATAAAAAATATTCATTTATTGAGTTTCTTTTGCAGTTATTGTTTTTGGTTAGCTGTTGTCTATTTTGTATATTGTTTTAGAGCGGTATTTTTCTTTCTTTCTTTCTTTCATTTTGGATCGATTATATCATATGGGTTGTATATATATATTTGTGGTTATGTTTTTGTTTTTATTCTTTTGGTAAGCATGGTAGGTTGGCTATAGCTATAGAGTATACTTGTATGTTAATATGGTGTATTGTAATCGGTCTGATTCTCTTAAATGGATAGTTAGTTTGATTTAAACGACGACTGGAAGTTGGGCCTGCAAAGATGCGAGCTTGTATTGCATTCGACTGTTTAGTGTTTGCTTCACTTTGAACATTAAGTTTAAAAATTCTTAAAAATACATGACATTCGCGTTTCGTAATTGTTGAAATAAAGTATAAGACTAGAAATATATAATTATGCATATATATATATATATACCGTTACAATTCGACTTAATTAATATGCGCATCAAATGAATTCTTTTTTGTAATTTTTCAAAACTTATTCTAAGTACATTTATTTAAGTTGTTGCGAAATATGCCAAAAACCAAAAACAAAAACAAAAACAAAAAGAAAATTCAATTAAAAATGGTGTTCAAAGAAAATTGCACATAAATTTGTATTCCATTAAAAATTATTCGCTTACAATTAAAAGCTTTCTTTTTTTTTTTTAAGTTTATGCAGCAAAGATCACAGATCCTCATAAAGAAATGAAAGCCAACTATGCGCATATTTTAAATTTAAAAATCCAACTCGAAATTCCTTTCGCTTCCCTTTTCCACCATTTTTTTGTTTTGTTTTGTTTGTACATTAAATTGCTAAACTTTGCTTAACTGTTTTTGTGCGAAAACTTGAACTGAAAGAACCAAAGCTAAAGAACTGAAAGGGTCTTAAACAAAATTCAACTAATACTTGCATTTTGTAGTATAACTTCTTGTTTGTTTTTTTTTTTTTTGAGAGGGTTATTGGATTTGGGTGACGCTCAGCAGGACCTTCGGTAAACTCCAAACACATTTCAAAAGCAGCTCAGCTTTTGCCAAACAAAAATGCACAATTTGCGGCTTCAATTTGTTTAGCAACAACTTAGCCGCCTTTTGGGGCCTGAAATGTATTTGTGAATTTACCAAAAGTCCTTGTACGAACCTCAGGAACCGTGTAGCGCATTATTCTGCGCATTGTTCCCGGCGCTGCCATTCACGTTCTGGGCTGAGACCTCCGACTTGACGCGACGCGCAATATGCGAACGCGTGTGTTTACGCAAGTGATCCTTGCGATAGAAACCTGAATTAAAAGAAAGCATACGATTAGTATTAGCAGGTAATTCAGAAACGTTATTCCATATTCAAGCCACGAATTCTCTAGCGGAATGTGCAAATGTTTAAGGATGAAGCACAAAGCAGAAACACGCAAATCAAACGTTTGTGGAAAAGAAGAGAGGGAAAGGATAGACAAATGAGTGCGAAAATGATCAAAAAGCAGAGCAAAAGGGAACTGAAATAATGTTTTTATAAATTGAAAGAAGAAACATGCGAAATAAGGAGTAAAGGAGACGAGAGAGAGCGACTGAGAGAGTGAAACAGAGAGATAGCTGTAGCGAGTCATAGAGCGAAAAAGTGAGAGAGGGAGATGGAAATGGACGGTAGAGGGAGAGATAGAGAGAGAGAGAGCGAAATACCTTGCTTTAAAGAAAGCAAAAAAGTAAAAGACCACAAAACGTTTAAGAATGGCGCACAAAAAGGAATATAGCTAAGCTAATGCTCGCGAGAGAGTGCAGCGCATGTGCGAGTGCATGGGAGTAACTGCATATACTCTTATATTTAAGGTTGCAGACTCTTTGACTTATACGCTCACCTTTGCCGCACTCAATGCAGACGTGCTTCTTTTCGCCCGAGTGTATGACAATGTGCAAGGTGAGCTGTTCCTTGCGCTTGAAGGACTTCATGCAGATCTGTTGAGAGATAGAGAATTGATTAAATTTCTGGCATTGATGGGACAAATCAGGCCGAGACTCACATTGCACACATGCGGCCTGTCCGGTATGTGGGATAGCTTGTGCCTGGTCAAGTGATCCTTGCGCTTGAGCGCCGCATTGCAGATATCGCAGACGAAGCGCCGCTCGACGGCATGCGAGATGACATGCTGCTCGATCAGGCTACGGTCCGGATAGGCCATCTGGCATTCGGGGCAACAGTAGAGCGTGGAGCCGTCCAACGCTTTCGTTTCACGTATTTCGCCGGGCTTGGGACGCGGCTTCTTCTCCTTTGGCGGTTTCTTCTTTTTGGTCTTCTTGCCGGTGGTGGTGGTGCCACCTGTGGCATTTGTGGTGCCCACCGCCGCGGTGCTCGAGACGGCGGCCCCGTTACTAACCGCACCATTCGCATTGCCATTGACCCCGTTGCTGGCGCCGCCATTGGCCAGCGCAGAGCCGTTTGCGTCCGTCATGCTGGTCATGTGGCCGCCGTGATCCATGCCCACCAGGCCGCCATTGTGATGGCCGCCGCCGTTGGCGCCATTATTGCTGGGCGTTAGTGCCACGCCACCCAGCGCCAAGCTGGCCAAATTGGTGCCATTCTTGAGGACATCGCCCGTGGACTCCTTCTTTATTGTTTCCGAATACTTGAGGAAGTGCTGTATGGAGATTGGCAGTGTTGCGGATAGCAAATGCGATGAATAGTCGACCGTGTTGGCCGTATTGGCCAGCGTTTGCCACGACTGATTGACATTCTGTAAGATTTGCTGATTGAGCACTGTGAAAGAGGACGAAGAGACATGTGAGTATTATATGAACACTATGGCTAGCCGGGGTGTGGGGTATTCTAGCGAGGTCTCTTTAGACTGTACCTATTGCAAACTATTTCAAGGCACTCGCCTAGTTGTAAAGCTAAGATCCTGTTAAGGAGACCAACTCAGCAATTATGATCTTTATAAAGCTCCTAGACAAATGGACAAGTTAATCAAATGGATTGGATTATAAAATATATTCACGACAATCGCCTGTAAATTGTGTTCAGATAATATCCGAAGATATTTATCTAAAGGGGCATCTAATCTTTGGTACACACAAAGATAACAGCATTTTCTTGTGGTCCTCGCTCTGCTTTTGATGATGATGCTGATGGACACACCCAGGACACAAATCCGAATTCCCACACCACACAACTCTCCCCCCACACCCCTTGAACATGACCTTACAGTAGAGCGTTTGTACTAAATATATGTCCACGCCCACCTCAGCTCCTTCAGTTCATGCATTATCTAATAGCTTCCTGGATAATTTTCTTGCCGAAAGAAAAGCAAGGCAGAAGAAAAAAAAACCTACCCCAACAACAAAAAGCTTTGGCTTGGCAACACACACACGCACACACTCACAACCCGTGTGTGCGTCTGTGTGAATAGGCTCAGTTCTATTTTCTTGAAAATCCCAGGCTGCCCCCTCTACACCCCTTCGCAGACCACCTACAGTTACTGCCGCCAAGGACACATGACATGCCGCATCCCTAACCCACTCTCTGTGCAGCAGCTCCTCCACCCCCACCTCCCCCACCTTTCCCCCCTGCTTCCCCGGGGGCAAGGGCTCAAGTTTTCAGGCTGCTCTTTTAAAGTTAATACGCCCACGTGGAAAATATGTGTGTGTGTGTGTGTGTGTGTGTGCGTGTGTGTGGAAAAGTTTGTGCTCGACAACAAGTAAACAGAAATTTTGAAAACTTGTTAATAGGAAATACACACACACACACACACACCATCAAGCACAGAGGGTTCATAAATTGCTGGCAGATAAAAGTTGTTGGCCGCTCCAAAAAGTATGCTACAAATTCGTAATCCAGACAGGGCGCAACATTTTCCTCCTTTTTTTTATATATATATATATAAATAACATCTGAGCCGAAGCGGACCGAGTGCGGGCCAGCGGGGCAGGGGCAGGGCGCGCACAACGAATAATGCGCGTCCTTGAAATTACATGCCATATAAGAGATAGCTGCCCAAAAAAAAATACAAAAAAAAAAAACGACGAGACCCAAAAAAATAAAAAGGAAAAACAAAGAAAGTGTAGCCTTCCCTTCCCTCCACCCTCTACCGTCAAATATAAACCCCTGCCGCTTGCGTCGCCGACTCACCTTCTTCCCGGTCACGTTCAATTTTTGGATGGATTTTACCCTTATGATCCGCTGCAGCGGCCGCATTCAGAAAGTTCAGATCACTCTGCGGCTGCGAGTATGGTATGGATATATTTTGACCATATTGCATATTATTGGCCGCCGAAACTGTAAAAATAGAAGAGAGAGAGAGAGGGTGAGTGAATTATTAGCAATTGATAAAGTTAAAGAAAAAAGACACATTTTTTGTGAGGTTAGGTCATATTTACACATGCTCGAAATTGCGCTAGAATCACAGCCTTATATGGTTACTTTATAGATATTTTAAGTTTTATATATTTTCTATCAATTTTATTTAATATATATTGTATATTTTATGTGTATAGCTTGTGTTTAAATTTGTTTAACTCGAGGCCGCCGCAAGCGAGCTCCAGCGCACAACGACTAACTACAACTGACTGGGACCTGCGTCTGACTGAGCAGCAGCAGCAGCAGCAGCTACAGCTGGCAGCGGCGACGGCGACGGCGACACACACACAAACAAACAAACACAATAACGCACACAACGAACGAGGATCGGGTGCCGGCTAAAAGCGGGCGGCTGTTCGTTTCAAGGCACGACGCCTGACAATGTCCCAGTGCCGCACGACTTATACTTCGTGTGTTTATGTGTGTGTGTCTGTGTTCTTATACATATACATGAAGCTACTGCCTGTATGTATGTGTGTCTTTGTAGGCAGCCACACTTTGTTAGTAGTTGGCAACACTGGCTGCTGACGGCTGACATGCGTAGGTTGTTGTAGTTGTTGCAGCCGTTACTTTTAGGCGGCTGTGGGCATGTCTGCCTGCCTGGTTGCCTGTTTGCCCGCCTGTCCCTGCCTGCTTGCCTGTCGTCGCGCTGCCAAGGCCAAATTTTGCACCCACACACACACGCACACACACACACACACACACACACACACACAAGCGCACTGAGCGAGAGAGCACACGTGCTAGCCACGCATACATAGGAAAAAGGAAATTAAAATTGAAAATGCCGGCCCTACCGATGCGCCTCAAATGTATGCTACACACACACACACACACACACACACGCAGCACACAGCGTGTATGTGTGTACGCGTATTTTTCGGCATTGCCTTTTGCGCCAGCATTTTGCCGGGCGCTCGTTTTTATTAATAAATATTTTCTGGCTGTTGCCAATTGGCCCGGTTTTTTGTTAGTATTTTTCTTTGTATTTGCTTCCTTTTTCCTGATGAAATGATTATGTACACACTGGTTGGGCGAGTGGAAGACAAGAGCAACAGCGGCATCAAGTTATGCAGCATGGTATGCAGCCACACAAAAAAGGTTACAAATTTAATAATAATAAAAAGAAAAGCCGAAACATTTAAAAGCATTACATATACATGTGGGTGTGCGACTATGTGATTATGCCTGTTGTTGAGTGTGTGTGTGTGTGTGTGTGTGTGTGTGTGTGTGTGTGTGTGTGTATGCGTGGCAACTGACTGTCAGTCCCTCGAATAAATTAACTTGTGACCTTGCATTATAATTTAACATATTTCTTATGCTTTAATGCCCACTGCGAGAGTTGCCACAGTAGCATAATATACTCTAGCATACTTTTGGGGCAAACGAATTTAATGCGCTAACCTCAATTAGGCTGGTCATATGTGTGCAGACGGATGTGTCCGTGGGTAAAGGGGAACAGAGAGAGAGCGCGAGAGAGAGGGAGAGAGAAAGATTGCCCTGCGTGGGTAAATAAAGCAAACAGGCTAATGGGATCTAATAAAGGAAAGTAGTCCGCATGGAGGATTAAGCTGAAACAATTGACCAGCGAGCCGTAAAAGGCACCAAAAGACATCTTTCGTAAACAGACTCGTAAATGAAATTATTCCAAGAACCAGTGTATGCTTAAAAGCAACATTTTGTTTAATTAAATATACTAATTATGATTAATTGAGTATTTTAAGAATGTGAAAACCAGCACAAGCCATCGAAATTGCATTTAAGCATTCGAAAGTTAAGATACAAATTTTACACATAAACCTAAAAAACAATTTGTAGTCAGTGTTGAAAAGTTTTCGAAACACGCTTGAAATGGTGGAATGTGTATGTTTCATTTCCATTTATTGCAAAAGCTTTCTACAAATTTTTGGGCTTTTAAATTTCGAAAAATTATTTAAACATAGTAGGGCCCCTAGGGGCAGACAAATATTGAATCAAAAGCTTGTCTAACTATGAATAGAAAACAAACTAATAATTGTTATATGTACTTCAGCCAACCTTTTCTTGAGAAACTAGTCAAAAAGTTTAGGTTGAGTCTACATGCTTACGCACGAAAAATCGATTGATATATAAGGCCCAAAAATCTCGACATAGAGCGACGAGGACTGCTGCCCAACCCTCTACCATGCGGGGACAGACGTGAAAAATAAAGGCTGAGATAATCAAATATTATCCGAGCAATTAAATTGCCCCCCCCCCCCTGTCGCTTACTAAAGTCGATGGATAAACAATGAAAGCAGTTAGACAAATGCAAGACTTATGTAGCCGTAATTAATCAAGTGAATAAACTGAGCGCACAGAGTAAGCGGCAGGCCCCAAAAAGTAGACAACGAAAAGTGACATAAAAAAAAACCAACTGCCCATAAAAATGACAAACAAGAAACAACAAAAAAAAAATAACACACACAAGCTGACAAAACAAAAATGAAACGGAACATGGAACGGGTATACGAAATGTCAGACAGAAGAGGAGCAGAATTGATAGACGCACGGAAATACTGGGCTAAGCCTGTGTGGAAACGAGCAACGGACTACGTCGAGCCACCGACGACAACAAAGCTGAAAACATGCGCTCCATTTTCCATCAACGTACCCGGCATTCTCGTTGTAACATTTCACTTTTCACTTCACTTTCACATGGGCCACACGACAACGTCGACAACGACCAGCAGCAGCACCAGCAGCAGCAGAGGCAGCGGCAGGACGAGCTCAAGAACGGATGAGTAAGAGAAACGGCAAACGAAATGACAGATTGTTGTTGTTGCTGCTGCCTAGCAACGAGTTAAAGTCGGTGAAAACTGAAACACGGCCAAGCGAGAGTGAGAGCGCGCCCAACTTCAAATGAGCGTGTGTGGAGAGAGTGAGAGAATGAGCGCGCGCGCCTGTGTGTGTCAGTGTTTTTGTGTATGTGAGAGGAGAGTATGTTTGTTGGGCGCACGCTCTCCAATACCACAATATGGCGGCGGCTGGCTTAGGTTTGAGTGGCACAGCCAAAGTGGAACAAAATGGAAAGGAATTCGCTGGGTTTGGGGAACGTTATGGAAAAACATGGCGCTACGCTCTGCATGCCTACTTTTAAGTGTGTTTATAGTGCCGGCACACACAGTGAAAGCGGTGAGAGAGAGAGAGAGAGAGAGAGAGAGTGAGAGCGCGCGCGCAACGGAAACATATATAAATATAAAAATACATGTATATATGTGTACATAGAGTAGAAAAGAGAGTGAGAGAGCGAAAAGCGAGGTTAGCAAAAACTGCAACCCCTATTAGAGTTGGGGGTTTTAACGCCCGCTGCTCGTGGTTTGGGCGTGTGTAGCGCGACGCGGCGCCAGTCGCCAGAGTTTGAGTCATCAGCGACAGCAGCAACAACAACAAAAACAACAACAATAAACCAATCCAGCCACGATAGAGTTGCCAGAATCAGCTTTAAGCCTTAAAGTTGCCATATGATAGGAAAAAGCTTCATTTGGCTTTATTGTTTTACACTTGCCTGCTTTTTTTTTTGAAGGGCTTAAGGGCAAAGTTTCAGGAGGGGACGGGGTGTCTAACTCAATTACATGCATGCCCAAAGCGCTATATATCAACTCTGTCTCTGCACACACACACACACACACACACACAGACACAGAGACAGACACACATGTATATACAGTGAAGACTCTATTAACGGACATTTCTCTTAGGCGTCAAAGTTTTTCCAAAGTTTTTCTTAACTTTTTGAATATTGCTGGCATTTGTCCTAATTTGTTGTACAAGTCTCCCTGGTTCGAAGAAATGATTGAAATGCAAAAATGTGGTTTGGTTTTTTTTTTGGCCCAGAGTTCAGCTAATTGCTATTAACATATATAGGGATATATAAAGCATTAACGGACGTACGTGTCTGTTCAAATGGGCTTTCACTGTATTTACTTATATGTACACCTAGCCTGACAGACTTATAAGCACGCGCATTTTTAGTGTTGCATAGCGTCAGGCTTTCGTGGGGGTGTAAACCCAGCCAACACACACACTCGCACTCACACTCCCACTCACACTCCCTCACGCACACACACACACACACAGTCTTTTATGTACACATAGAAATATGTACATGAGTGCAAATAATTTATGGGGGGTTGGGCGCGCCCAAGCGACCCTCTTGCCAAACCGCAATATTATCACATACATACGCCTCGCTGGTCATCTGCATGGCATATAGTATTCCCGACGCGTCAATCGGATCGTGTTAATATACAGATCGTGCTATGATTAAATGCGAGCCTTAACTAGGCACATGGCTAATTTTAAGCACCCCAACCCCTAGCGGGCGCTCTCCCACTCTCCCAGTCTCTCGCTCTCAGTATTTTCTTTTTCTTTACTCATCCTTGCCCTCCCCGACGCTTCGTCATCGTTTAAACGGAAAAATCAATGAGCCACAAATATTGTACCTTTTATTTACATTTTCAGTTGTTTTTTTTTTTTCGTTTTTCTTTATTTTTTTTTTTTTTTTTTTTGTTTTTTTTCTTATTTGCCTTGTGTTGACGCTGAATTTTTTATATCTACTTAAAGAGTTGCCCCCAGGACTTGATAAATTATGTAAATTGCACACAACAAAAATAAACAAATATTTACGTCAGGTGCTTGAACTTGAAAGAAAGTTAAGGGTACGTAGCTTCCATGTAGTGATACAGCCAGAAAAAGGAAAGTTGAAATGATTTTTTGATGGGAGCTCATGTCTTAAACTGATATACGGAACAAATAGATATGATTAGACAATATTATAGATGTTCTTATTTTACTGAGAAGAGTAAGCGCAATCTTGAAAATTAGGTAAAAAGATTACAATTATTGATTTATGTCTTTGGATTAAAACTTTAGAATTCTGTAAGTTTGATTAGAAAGCGTTTCAATATGTTTTATCTATAACAACTATTATTTAATCCTTATCCGAATCGAAATGAAAAAGCCTGAAAATTATTTACTTTATATTATAGAAAACGGGCAATTGGAGATCTCTTGGCAAAATATTCAAAGATTTAAATCCTATAAAACGGATAAACGATAATAAGTAAAATGATTTATATATATTTTGTTTTCATTGCAGTAACATGAACCCAAAGAGCTAAACCTGGCCATATTTATATAATTTTTAGTAAACATAGCTGAGATTAAATGAAAATAAATATAAAAAAAATATGAAAGTTCTTCACTATCGAGGTTTATCCTTTACTCACATCTCAGCCAAGCTAGATAATAGATATAGCATAGATTTGAACTATCTAAAAGTCCGAATCTGTTGCCAGTCGATATCTCAGTTCATACGCATTTGATTTATAATGCGAGACACGCTATCGCATGCTATATCTATCTCCCAGAAAACAAAACTGGACTCTGGGACGCTTTTGTTGTTTTTGATAAGCCAGCTAATAAGCGACAAGAAAATGCGGTAGCTCGACTGTGCGGGGAGCGTCATGCAGCGGGGGTAACAGCGCTCTACCTGCAACCACGCACACACACACACACACACACACACGCACGCATACACTCACACAGACACACACTTTGCTAGATAAAAGAGCAACCCACACTCACACATGCACAACCCTGACACATGCATAGACACATTTTCCTGTTGTTGCAGGTAAAAAAGAAAAAAACAAATGTGAAAAACCAAAATGAAATGAAATAAAATAAAACGCTAAACTGGAAATGTAATGCGTAGAGCTGAAAACCTGGGATCAATGAACTATACAAAACAGTGGCAAATGGCAGTTGGTATCGGGTGCGAGTTCGAGTTTGAGTTCGAGTTGGGGTTCGAGTTTTGGTTCTTAAACGTGCTGCATTTTCCAGCGTGCATAAATGAATTATCAACCATTTGCGGACTGGGCAACTAATTATGCAAGTGAATGCAACTAATTGCAATTGATAAAAGATGTGATGTGAGCCTATCAAAGCTGGTTTGAGCAGGGTTTGGTAGATAGGTAAGCGCTTCGAGGCCGACTAATCGCAGCTCTGCAGCTTCTAGTTCAATACTAATCAACTATGTTGGGTCTCAGTTCAACCATTGAAAAAGATTCGGAAATGAACGATCTAACTATGTTGGGCCACAAATGAACTGCAGATGAACGTTGGAACTCGATCGATTGAATGAACGATTTGATCGACTGAACGGATTGCAACCCAAATGAACCACTGATGATATTGAAAGCTCATGAACCACTCAACAATTTGGGATGTAAATGAACAACTCAAGTGACCGAAGATGAACGTACAAATGCAGGTTGGGATGTTGCTAAACCAATAACTAGAACTTAGTTTAGTTGCTCAGTTGGATGATTAGTTGATTCGAGTTCTGTCCGAATGATTCGATAGAGCTCTGACTGCTTATGTACAATGCGTTTGCGTTTAGGGGTTGGGCTGGCAGTCACCCTGCCACAAAGAGTTGCAGCTTGGCTAAAAGGAAGTCAGTGCAATTAAAAAGGCAGCGACGCTGCTTTGCCACAAACAGGGGTTGGGGTTGAAAACTGCGCACGCACACACACACACACATGCCCAAACTCCCCCGTTTAATTGAGTGTGTGTGTGTGTGTGTGTGTGTGTGCTGAGTAGCTAACGACAGTAAAACCCACCCCCGGGGCTACACAAAGTAAAATGCAGCAAATTCAAAAGTTATTTGAGTTCATTGCATTTCCAAGCGAAGCTAAGCAACAACAACAACAACAACAACAACGAGAGCGAGAAAAACTGGCAATAGCAGCAACGGGCACACACACTCACACACACACAAGCACAGTGCCAAACGGGGGTGGGTGGTAATGACTCAAAACATAGCGCAGCAGAAGGAAAAAAAAAACAGCAACAAGAACGAAAAATCGTTAGATTCGGTTATGTCGACAGCCGCATCCGCTCCGCTCCGCTGCCTGAATGTAGAGTACAAATTGCAGGACGACCGTGTTGAGTAGGGTATTTGCGCTTTTTAATTTAAGATCTGGGGTGGACAATTGTTTGATGGGGTGGGAACACATATTATGAAAAGGGGCGCACGTGTGGAATTTGCGTTTAGGAATAATTAGTTAATATCAATATAAATGAATTCAGAGATGCTCTATAAAGTAAAATAAACGAGTATTTAACAAAATATTCAATCACCTACAAGTACGTACTACTATCTAGCTGAAGACCGTGGTAGTATCCACTTATCAGTTAATTTTATTTGATAAGTTTAGATCAATAAATGAATATACAATATACAATTTAAGCCATGTTCATAAAAGAATATATGAATCAAAAGTAATATTTATAATGTTAATAATTGTATTCTTTGATAATTTTGTTTATTCGCACGGTTTATATTATGTAACAATAAATAAAAGAAATGATAATTTCCCATATTAAAACTTTTATCGAACGAAGGTAAATCGTCTCTTGAAAAAAATGTTGTAATTCAAAATTTTGATTTTCTCTCAATATCAACAAAAACTCGTTTTTCTGGCAGGTGGCAACACTCGTGTGAACGCAACATGGTTTCAATGCATTTTCTTTCAATGCGAACTAGTTCTGTGAACTGCAAATGAATCACTAAGCGGCTGATCAGTTGTTTACGTGCTCTCTCGCTCCAACCAATGATATGTCGTATGCTGCGCGCAGCAAAACCAAAACCAATGCAAACATTTAATGCTCTTATACATGCGCAGTTGTTTTTTTTTTACTTCTGACATTGTTCAAGTTGATCCTCTACATTCTTCTTCTTTCAAATCAAAACATGAATGTTGTGCTAGTTACACATGCTCGAAAGACCCCAAACGGCGTGTTGTAGTGGATGGGCATGGGGAAAAGCAGAAAAGCAAATCGTTGCCGCTCTTGTTGATGTTGTTGTTGCTGCCGACGCCAGCGCTTACGTCGCTGGCGACGCAAACGGCAGCGACGGCGGCAGCACCAGGCGAAAATAAATCGATAAAAATAAAATAAATTTTTAGTGATTATGTTATATACATACATGTATGTATATATATACACATGCACACGCTGCGCGCATATTTAAATGCATGTGTATATATAGAAATGTGCATATGTATAATTGTATTGTATATCTGTATATGTGTGTCTATAAGCACTTACCGTTGGGCACATTCTGATTGAAATGATTGCCATTGGTCTGATAGCGCTGCACATGATTGTCGCTGCCCGCTGCAGCGGCCGCAGAGTTCACCGGCGGCGTACCAAATGCGCCCGGTGTTTGTGCATCAAATTTAGCGGCAAACTGATGAATGCCAGAGAAAGGGCCGCCGAATGCGGAGAAATTCATCATGACAGTTTTATGTTGTTAACAGAGATTTACGCATACACGCACAGGTCGCTGTCTCACGCACGCACACACACACACAGGCAGGAGCCGCGATGCCTGTGTAGAATTGCTGCCTTTTGGTTTTTAGAGACTCTGCTCACTGCCCGTTATTATATTTTGGGGCTTGGGCTTGTGTAACACTTTCGCTTTTTTTGTTGGTTGTTTTCAAATTGCACTAACCAACACCAATAACAACTGTAACTGTAACATAAACGCTGCGTCGAGCCTGAGAAATTGAAATATGATCGAATTGGAGAAACAGAAACAGGCGATGGGCGATGACGATGACGATGACTATGCGGAGGCTTTTCAACTGTGGGTGGTGCTAACTTGGCTGGATTTGTTTTTGTAGCTGCCGCTGTTGTTGTTTTTGTTGTTGCTGTTACGCTTGTTGGTGGGGGTTGGTTTTTGGTTGGTGTGGTGTGGCGAGGTACACACTCACACTCGCGTGTACACGTTGGTATGGGCGCGCGATTGTATGCAGCGCTTTGCTTTTTGGGGGTAGCAAAATGTACAACTTTCAATTTCGCTTAAACTAAACACACACTGAGACAAAACACACAACACCAGCAGACACACACGCACACACAATCACACACGAGGCAACGTCGAGCGCGACGACGACGACGTCGACGGCGAACAACAACAATAATAAAGTAGAATTAAACGAAAGTCACGCTTACAACCGGCTCGTCGAGGCTCCGACATCAAACTAAAAGTAACATTACAACGAAAGAAAGCGGAAACACTGGGGCAGGCAACGGCAATCAGGCGCAGGCAGCGACTGCGACTGCGACTGAGCCAGAGACTGAGAAACAGAAACAGAGACGCCAGCGGCAACGGCAACGGCGACGCAATGGACAAATGACAGTGACAGCGCAGCTCTCTTTTTTTGTATTAGTTCGCTAATATGTATGTACATACATACATACAAATGTTTGTGAGCATGTGTGTATAGTGCTTGTGTGCGCTGCTTTGAGGGTGGAAGTTTTTCTACTTCTCTGGAAAATGTGCGTTTATTTGTACGTTCTTTACAATGCGTTTCTGGCTGGGTATATGACACTTAACCAAACGCTTCAGTTGATTAGCTAAGTACAGATCTTAACTATAAAAAGGTTTACAAGCATGATATTCTATAGAACTTTTATTAATGGACGCTTAATTTTAATTTAGTACAGATATGATGCTAATCGTTTGTTTACTTAATCAACGTCTATAGAACTATAAAATACTTAGTATATTTAACTTTTTATATATATTTTAAATATCTTAAGAATTCTCTATTTACAGGACATTCGTAAGTCGACCATCACTTACCAGAAAACTCACAAACAGCGTGCCTTGTATTCGTATTTTTATTTGGTTTTCCAACTTTTGGGGTTGTGTGGCCTGGCCGTCGCAGCCGCAGTGAACGGCCAGTGCATTTATATACATGTATGTATGTACATATGTATGCATCTATGTTTGTTTATACACGCGTCTGTATGTAAGCATTAACGTAGCTGCATGCGTACGTTTGTGTGCTTGTACGTATGTGTGTATGTATGTACATATGAATATGGGATGTCTAGAAACGCACAGCAGCATTCTCGGTCGCGTCGCCGTTGCTGCATTCAATTCTGCTCGCGTTGCCTATGGTGCTTGTGTTAATGAAAGTGAGTGCAGCATCAGCATAAGCACTTGACTGTATGCGTGAGTATGAGGATGGGAGACGCTCTAATAAGAGAGCAGTAGCCGCTGCTCGCCAAAGCAGCACCAGTCTCTCAGCCAGCAGCATTCACATGCATTTGTTTTATGCCTGTGTCTGCGCCTGGCCTGCAAGTGTTTTATTGTTTTTCCGATGCCCTACGCCGCGCAAGTTATGCACTTTAAAGCGAACCGAGGCAAATAAATATTAGAGAACAAAAAGACAACTGGCACATATAATCGAGATGCAACATATTAAGTACTTTTAGTTCATAATTATTAGAATAAATTGGTCATATTAAGCAACTCTGAAACTGGTTTAGAGCGCAGCTAACAGTCGCATAGGCCTAAAAGTCGCTGAAGCGTTTTCCTTCTTTTGTGCTCCTCATGTTGTTGTTGTTCTTTTCCTCCTGCTCTGTTCTTCTATTCGTTGACTTACCATGAGGGTTGGAGTTTTTGACTTTCCATGCGTTCTTTTTAACTCGCATTCGCTCATTCTCTTGTGCTTCTCTCGCCTCGTTGTTGTTGTTGTTGGTGTCTCTTTCAATGCAATGTCTTTGTTTCGGCTGCATCTCTCTCAGAGCTCTTATTGTTACATGTGTGTTTATCTTTAATTTCTATGCATATTTTCCAATTATGCATTTACTCCACGGCCGAATTCAGCGTGTACGTGTATGTATGTACATACATAATCATATACAAACATACATACATACATACATAGGAGGCTTATGTTTTTATTAGTTTATTATTAGCTACATAATAATTATAATTCATTTAGCGGCACAGTAGAACAGTTACACGACGCACATAAAAGCCTGCTCGTGTATGTACGTATGTATGTATGTATGTATGTGTGTGCATCTTCCCATGCTGTGAGTTGAGACCCCATCTATTAATCACAGGCACAACCCATATCATCATCGATTCTTTTTGTACATTATATACATACATGCACATATGTATGTACTTATATACCACATCCACATTAGTTTTCTGCATTCTAAAGAGCTGCTAATATGATTATCTTTGCCTCATACTAACTGAGTTGCCCCACCCCCCCTTCCAGGAGAGCTCCTACTCTCAGCTCCTTTGATTATGTCTAGGAGAGGGAGGGGTAGGGCATCATCAATCAGGGAGCTTAACATTAAAATTACAAAAATATTTTCTCACTATCATGTTTATTCAATTTTATTAATTATTATGAGCTTTTATCTGATGTTTTCATACAGTTCTGGGCATGAGATATTACGTGAGGTGTGGATTTTAAGCCTTGCTAATTGAAAACTGCATAAGCAAATTGTGTCGATGGGCTTACATCGTTCAAAATCCCCACATAAGCCGTTTTAAAATAGCTGCGTGCTTAAATTCATATATTGTCCGATTTCATATCATATTTCGCAAATTAAAGGTACGACATACTGTTTGCTAGTTGAAAACTTAAAGTTAAGGCATTTGAGTGCATTCCGTATGAAAACACCAGCATAATATGGAGTACATATATTCATAATCATATTCATATTCATATTCATATATATATATATATATATATATATTTGTATTCGGGAGGTTACGATTTATAACTAAATACTTTCAATGTCATTTTATGTCACTTCCATCGAATATGCACCAAAAAAATAATGCCCAGACATATAGTTGCCATACATATTGTGTATATATAAAGATTATTTTACGTATAATATCTTTTAGCTAGAGTATATATAAAGAGATATATTGAAATGATCAATGTTTTGCTAACGGTTTGGTTTCTGTCCTGGTTGCTCCTAACGAATGCTTACAAAATATTTCTACTATATATATATGATTAGTTATCAAAATATTGTTTATACATAGTAAAGCCTTGGATTTTTTTGTGCATATTTCTACACGGTGTTTGTTGTTGTATTAAAAAAATAAACAGTACAAAATATTAACAAAATTAAGGTATAATACGGAAAACTTTGTAAACCCGAAATAAACGTGTCATTTGGCAACTTAAAAGTTAATATCACACAAAATAGTATATATATATAGAATTTAACAGCGCAAATAATTGAATTGTTTAAGCGAATGTTCACGTTACAAATCATAATACAAGGTATATGAATATCGTTTGTGTATATATAAATATTGACAGAGATATATAAGTATATGTTGTAGCAAGCATGTCTGTGGTTTTCTTATATCAGCAAATACGCTCGAGTATTAGAATATTAAGCATTGAGTTTTACTTGCTCAGATCTAGCAAAATTATTAAATATTTTATATAATAGATCTGCATTGATTATATTTGTATAGTTGCGCGATTTAGAGAGGATAGCCGAGTGCAGCCGACAGCAGCGGCTCCCAGGCGCGATTTATGTCCAAATAGAGCACTGTGCACTGCTCGGCGAGCGTTTCATCATCGTCCAGTATGGTTATAGGGAAGAGATCGTTCTGTTTGAATGGAATATAATATTAATAATACATTTTTTACAGTTATTACAAAATGAACGCACATTTTTGGACTGCCAAAGCTGCTCGAGCAGCCGCAAAAAGCGCTGCATTTCCATGCTGCTCGCAAAGAATAGAATCAAATCATCTTGACATTCCAGTGGCGCCTCCTGGCAGGAGAATTCCAATATGCACCACCAGGTCTCACTATGAGAGGGTATTTTAATGCCAGTCATTGCTTTAATATCCGCACAAGTTAGTATCTCCAGTCCCGAATTTTTGCCATAAACGCTGCTCATGCTTTGCGCTTGTCCTGACACAGTTTTTGGTAGAGCTTTGGACGCATCCAGCGAGTTCTTTGTGGGAGTGGAGTTGAGTGAGGAACATGAGCGTTGTGTGCCACGTGTGGGCGTGCTCATGGTGGAGCTTAACTAAGAGTTTAACATGAATTAACGAGGAATTTCTTCTCTAGGCAAATGGAATACTCACCAAGCTGCTGGTTTCGAAGATGCACAACATATCCTCCTCGCGCAGCTGCTGCTTGTTCTCGGCTGCGGCTGGCGGTGACTCCGGCTCCTTGTTTAGTTGTCGCAGGGGTGCAGCAAAGTCCTCACGCAGCGTTATCAAATGGTTCTGGGTGACTATCAGAGTACAGCCCAGAGCCTTGTGCCGCTCCTGCAGCTCAAAGAGCTGTCAATGGAAATGTTGATACATTAAAAGTTGATAGTGCTTGTTTGTGCATTTCACAACTTACACCACTCGCTGACTGGAGTAGCGCCTGCAGCCACTCGGAGGCCACATACTCATCCGGCGCTGCCATTTGCAAAAGCTCGCCCTTGAGCATGATCTCAAAGCAATGAGGACGCGCAGATTTGATAGCACGCCTGGCGCCTTGACACTCGGCCAGCGCCATGGCCCAGCTGGGCAGCTTTTGCGTGGAATCATGGAACATGTAGAGCACGCCCGCTCTGTACGATTGAGCACACACACATATTATATATATACTTAAATTCAATGCAGTTTCAACTTACTTTAACAAAAAGTAGCCCGGCTGCCAGCTGATCTTGGACGTGGCGGTTGCTGTGGCTGTTTCTCGCACCCGTCGGTGCATGAGAAAACCCTTGATGTGCGGCCCTAGCGGCTCCTGTTCGCCATCTAGGCCCATGCCCAGAGCACCGCCGGCGGGCATATTGACCACCGCATAGAACATCCAGTGCTCATCCTTGCCCACGCAGCTGTTTGCACGCACAAAGTCCTGCAACGGCGCCAGATGCTCCAGTGTCAGTTGACCCACGGCGGGCAACGTTGAGCCGCTGCGACGAGCGCATAGCTCCAAATTGGCAACTAATGCATCGGCTGGATAAGGTCCGCCGGCGAGCAGCACCTGCTGCATGTCCCGCATGCTGTTGCTTAGCAGCACCGTGTTCCCAAAGGGACCCATCTGAGTAGTAGAAAGTTTATTAGATTGAGATTTCGATTAGACTATGCCGCTTACCAATATGACATCCAAATCCCTGTAGGCCAGCACAAATTTTGCGCACAGACAATTGCGTACCAGATCTGTCACGTAGAGCGTTTTATCCGTAAGCAGCACCAGCACCGGCGTCATG